CTCCCGGGACGTCGTCTTCTCGACGACCACGTCTCCCCCCGGGCGTTATGATCGCCATGGGCGCCTACCACCAGGCCCTCCACCGCGCCCTCGTCTTCGCCGCCACCTTCTTCTTCCTCGCCGGCGTCTACCTCTGCACCACGCGCCTCTTCAACGACTCGCCCGTCACCAACAACCCCGGCGGCGCGTTCGGCGGCGGCGGCAGCAGCAGCAGCAACAGCAAAGGCGGCGTTGACAGGACCAACCCCCCGCCCGCGCTCGGCAACAACATCATGCTCGACGGGGCCGACGGCCACGACGACGCCCTCAAGCCCGGCGCCGCCGACCTGCCCATGTCGTACGGGCAGTACGCCCGCCCGGGCTACGACAACGTGACGCTCCTCGGCGCGCTGCCCGCCGCCGTGCTCCCCACGCCCTCCAACGGCCGCCGCCTCGTCGTCGTCGGCGACATCCACGGCATGGACGTGGAGCTCGACGAGCTGCTCGCCAAGGCGCGATTCAACCCGGCCACCGACCACGTCGTCTCCGTCGGCGACATGGTCAACAAGGGCCCCGGGTCCGCCGCCGTCGTCGCCCGCCTCATGGCCCTCGGCGCCAGCGCCGTCCGCGGCAACAACGAGGACCGCGTCCTGCTCGCCCACGCCGAGCGCGCGCACCTCTCGGGCGTCAGCGCCGCAGAGCTCGCCGCCACCGAAGACGACGCCCTCGCCCATCACCGCGGCGAGGCCGAGGACCTCGCCGTCGCGCGCGCCCTCTCCCCCGAGCAGGTCGCCTGGCTCGCCGCCCTGCCCGTCATACTCACCGCCGAGCCCCTGCCCCTGTACGTCGTCCACGCGGGGCTCGTCCCCGGCGTGCGGCTCGAGAAGCAGGACCCCTGGGCCGTCATGAACATGCGCACCCTGCGGTACCCCCTCGAGGAGCTCCGCCGGCAAGAACGCAAAGAAGTGAACCCCAACATTGGCGCCTCGTCGCCCAAGAAGAAGAAGAAGAAGAAGGACGAGGCACCAGGCAGCGGCGACACGGAAAGCGACGACGCGACCGACTCCGACGCCGACGCCCAAGCCGACCGCAGCGTCGCCATCCCCATCGAGGACCACTCGGGCCGCAAGTGGACCAGCGCCTGGGACAAGCACCAGAAGCGCCTCGCCCGCGACCAGCGCCGCACCGTCATCTACGGCCACGACGCAAAGCGCGGCTTCGTCCAGGGCAAGCACGTCTTCGGCCTCGACTCGGGCTGCGTCTACGGCGGCGCCCTCACCGCCATGATCATCGAGGGGTCCGACGCCCGCGCCGACGCCGGGTGGAAGCACACGGTCCTCCAGGTCGTCTGCCGGCAGGGCATGCGCAACAAGTCGTAACGACGGGCGCCCTTGGCCCTTGTTGCCTCATTCAGCTTTTTGTTCTGTTCTTCTTCTCTCCCGAGATCCGCTCTCCGGCTTCGAATTTCCATTGCGCGGCGTTTGGGTTGGTGTTTTGGGGCGCGTGGCTTGCATACGGGTGGGATACACGGCGTTGTTCGGCACGAGGAATCCAGCATGCGTTGTAGACGAGTATTAGGTTATGCCCTCATTCGAGAACGGAAGAAAGGGATACTTGAAGAATCGTACACTCTCAGGAGTGCGTGTCGGTGTCAACGTGAAGTGTTCAGCCTGTGTGTGCCATCTTGCAGTCCAAATCGCCACAGACCGCAGCTAAGGGGAACAGTCACCTACACTCCATCACGCACTTCCAGAGCTGGAGGAGCCGTCAAGGCCAGGTACGAACATTCGCCGCGCCATCTATCTATCTACCTACAAACGCAGACATGTAGACAATTTACCGCCGTGGGCGCGTCCGCGGCAAACCAGCACGCCTAGCAGACCCGCACACACGACTCAGCACGAGACTCTTCTGTCCTCCAGGCCAGGCCAGGCCAGGCCAGCCCATCCATACGTCCTTAATTCGTTGCAATCATAAGATTTCCTTCCCAATCCCGGCGGCGGAACTCCTCCCTTTTGTGTTCCTTCATTTTCTCCTTATTAAAATACGGCCAGCATGTACCTTTTTATCCGCGTTTCGCCATTTACTTGGACAGCTTCTCCTTGAGGATGCCCTTGAGGGTGACGGCGTCGGCGGCGAACTTGCTGATGCCCTCGCGGAGCTTCTCGACGGCCATCTGGTCCTCGTTGAAGTCGAAGCGGAAGAGGGCCTCGTCCTTGATGTAGGAGCGGCGCTCGATGTTCTGGGAGGCGGCGTTGCCGGCGTCGAGCTTCTTGGGGACGGCCTCGGTCGAGTTCATGAGGTCCTCGAGCAGGTTGGGCTAGGCATGGCAGGTCAGCATTTGATCGGAGCATGTCTCAAGACTCGGCTTGGGAACGGGTCGGGGTGAGTGCTCACAGAGATGGTCAGGTAGTCGCAGCCGGCGAGCTCGGTAATCTCGCCCGTGCTGCGGAACGAGGCGCCCATGACAATGGTCTTGTAGCCAAACTTCTTGTAGTAGTCATAGATCTTGCGGACCGAGGCGACACCGGGGTCCTCCTCCTTGGCGTACTCCTTCTTGTTGTGGGCCTTGAACCAGTCGAGGATGCGGCCGACGAAGGGGGAGATGAGGAAGGCACCGGCCTCGGCGGCGCCGATGGCCTGGGGCAGGGAGAACATGAGCGTCAGGTTGCAGTTGATGCCGTGGTCGCGCTGGAGGATCTCGGCGGCCTTGATGCCCTCCCAGGTGGAGGCGATCTTGATGAGGACGCGCTCCTTGGGGATGCCCTGCTCCTTGTAGAGCTGTGCGGACGGCGTGTTAGCGGTTACACTTTCAAACGTATGGACTCTGAGGGCCGCTCACGTCAATGATGTGCAGAGCCTTGTTGACCGACTCCTTGGTGTCAAAGGAGTAGCGGGCGTCGACCTCGGTGGAGACCTTGCCGGGGACGATCTTGAGGATCTCCTTGCCGAACTCGACGAGGAGGCGGTCGAGGGCGTGCTCGACCTGGGAGTTGATGTCGCCGCCCTGGGCCTTGCCGTACTCGACGGCCACGTCCATGAGCTTGGCATACTCGGCCTTCTTGGAGGCGGCGAGGATCAGGGACGGGTTCGTCGTGGCATCCTGGGGCTTGTACTTGGCGATGGCTGCAAGCAGTGACGAGTCAGCTTTCCGCGCAATTTTCAAAGGGGTTGCCCGTGCCGCTTCGCTTCGCCTGCGCTGGCGGGGGCTGGCGGCATTGCCGTTTGCCTGCGCGGGCAGCGAAGCGGATCGCGGAGGCGGGGAGCATCGGCGAAGGGAGGACGAACAGGCAAAGTCACCTAGCAAGGCCGTGTTAGCAGACAAACTTCAAGCTGAGGTGCGGGCAATGCGGGAATTTACCAGAGTCAGACACGACAACCTATTCGAAGAAAACAAAAAGGCGGCAAGTCAGCAAATGCACTCTTTCCAACATGATCGCCAGCGCAGCTTCTCCGCGAACGCCCACGTCGTGGTTGCGCATCGCCCTCGCGCGCATCACCGCAGGAGAGACACCTCGCCACCCGGGGTTCCGGGTTTCGCAGGTGAGCTCCCCTCCCCTCCCCTCCCCTCCCCTCACCGGCAGCGGCGGGCGTCGATGGAGGGGCAGCGAGCGGGCGACATGGCGGGGTAGCCGGTAGCAGCAGCAGCAGAGGGTGATTCAACATACCGTGCCGGTGGCCTTGAGCTGGTCGAGAGAGTTGGACATGATGGGCGAGGTCGTTGGATTGGAAAATGGGAGGAGGATGATTCGAGCAAGAGGGGGGAAAAAAGTATGGGCAATTGGTTTGTGGCAAGGTGAATGTGGCGGGCAAGGCGGAATAAAAAGGGAAGGGGGAGGGAGGGAAATGTAGGAGGGGGAGGGAGCAGAGTCGTCCGGGTGGACGGGCCTGGGACAAGGTTTGGAGGCGATGATATAATGGGTGGTTAATTATCCGCCGACGCCCGCCGTCTCCTTCTGGGGCTTCTCCTGGCAGCGAGTACGTACTGCAGCAAGCAGCTCCCCAATACCCGCCCGCTCGTGGGGTTCCCATGTCCACAGCATCCGACGACCGGGAGCCGTGGGCATGGCACGGCATGGCATGGCATGGCATGGCATGGCTTGGATGGAGGGGCAACCTGGGAACCACCTCACCGCATGGGTACCCGGGCGGGCGGGCATTGCAGCGGCATGGCGGGACAGACAGTCCAGTGATGAACGGCGTTGGCGGCGCGCGGGCATTCACGTTGGGCTCCGTCCGGGGAGGCTTGCCCGCTGCAGTGCCCGTCGTCTGGGTGCGTCCCTGGTCATCACTCAGCAGCTCCAGCGAAGGAAGTGAGGTGAGCTGCTCCGGGCAGCTGTACAGGCGAGTCGGGTGCCCGCAGCGCCGCCAAGAGTGACCTCACAGTGGACCTTTTTGCGTTGGGGACCTCCCTACCTACCAAGCCTACCTCACCCGTGGCCCTCAACTGTGGCCCGCCACCTCAGGCCCGAATGCCGTCTCAGCGAACAGAAACGGCACCCACGGGGGCGTGCCCCTCCACCAATGACTTCATGGGCCCGCGCGCGCCCGCCCGCCGGACGCCTGTGCTCCGTCCCTGCCGCACCAACCTTTCCATCCAACATCCACCACCGGCTCCACCGGGGGAACCGCAAACACCCCACCAAGCCCACCACCACCACCACCACCACCACCTCGACGACGACCCCCCTGTCTGTCGCCCGCGTTCCATTGTCGTCTTCCGTTTCGTCGGTCGTTCGTTCGTTGCCGGACGACGGCGGAATTGTTGGATGCATGCAGCAGCAGCAGCCGCAGCCCCCTTCGTGCCGCCGGCGGCGTCCTTGTTCTCCCGCCGTTCCAGTGACAGTGCCAGGGCCATGCGTTCATTCACCAGAACGACGAACTGGCACCGGCACTGGCGGTGGTCGGCCCCAATTGCGTGAATACGTAGTATGAAACACTCTGTGACGAGCCGATCAGTCCGGCAGTTGACCGCACAATCCTCCGTGCCCAGGGTACTGTATACCTTTCCTCCCGTCTACAAAGTACCGTACGGTCCGTGCAAAACTGCCATCACAGGTGGCACGACGAGCAGCAGCCCGTCCAGACTCCAGAGCATCCATAATAAGCGAATGCATGATGCCTCTCCCGGCGCGCACGAGCACTCGCAAGCCAAAGCCATCGCACCACCAGCACCCCAACTTCCGTCGTCATTATCACAGGCGGCCATCAATTAAACCGGGCCACTGGGTAATGCTTGGTCAACGCAACGCCGAGTGCCACGAACGGCCTGTCGCGAGACCCGTTGCATGCCCGCCGCCCCACGCCACGGTCGACATATATACTACGTAAAACTGGGTCCCCGTGGACCGATGTCCGGCCTCGTCGCAGCCCGCAAGCAGCCTCGACTGCAAAAGCAGAGGGCAGAGGCACCCAAGGCACCATCGTCTGTCGATCGCACAACTTTTTTATCGGGGCCTCACTTTGATACGCGCACGCCGGGTCGGTCTCGTCATCATCCACTGGCCAGTCTTTTGAGTCATTCTTCATTCATTTTGGTGACTGCTGCGCGTCTTATGGTCGCGTCCATCCTCGCTCGCGCGCGCGCGTGCGCATCTAGTCCTCAGTAATGTCGCCATACTCCCACATGCCACGGCGCTCCTGCTTCGCCTGGCTCTCCACCTCCCGCAGGTGCTTCAGGTACGGCTCAAACGCCTTGCTGCGCTCCCACGCCTTGAGCTTCTTGGGCACCATGCCGTAACCGCCCGCCAGCACCTCCTTGTTGATCGAGTCGTTGAGCCCCGGCAGCTCGTTGTTCGCCTTGGTGTCGTACAGGGTGATGTAGCTCACGTTCTCCTTGCTGTCGACAAAGTCGAAGCTGCCCACGAGCCGCTTGCCCTCCGTCAGCTCCGCAATGTATCCGATGGCCTCGTCAAAGTAGTCGGCGCCCGTCGGGAGCTGCACGAACGACAGCGACGCGTCGACCGCCTGCGCCTTGAGCCTCTGCGTTCCGAACTGGCCCTGGTCCAGCGACCTCAGGCTCGACCACGGCACCTTCTCGCTGTTGCCGTAGTCGACAAACATGACCTCGGCCACCTTGGCCGCCCGGTCGTTGGCGCGAACGCGCGCGCGGTACCACTGGCCGTCCGCCGAGAACTTGGCCGAGACAAAGTCGCCCGTCTTGGGCGCATCGCCCAGCGGCTTGTTGTTCTTCGAGTCCAGGTGGAACTTGCGGAACTCGTTCATCAGCGTCTCCAGCGCCGACGTGCCCTTGCCAATCTCCTGGATCTTGATCTTGCCGTTGCTGTCGATGTTGGTGATCATGACATCCCGGTAGTCGGTCGGCCGCTTTTCCAGCGAAACCTCGCTCTCCTGCGGCGTCTCCTCGGACGCCTCCTCCTCGCCGTTCTCCTCCTGCGAGGGGTCGTAGTCATGCCACAGGCCCTTCTTGCCCTCCTTGGCCCTCTTCTCGGCGGCAAACAGCTCCGTCGAGTTGCCCGACTTTTCGGCAGAGTAGGCGTGCACCGACGCGAGGCCCTCCTCGACCAGCACCTTGGCAAAGTTCTCGCGGTTAATGTACAGCTCGCCGATGAAGCCGCCGACCTTGTCCATGTCGTGAATGTCGACCTCGCAGTCGCGCTGGTTGCATCTCCTGTTCGCGAGCTCCAGCGCCTCCTTGCCAAACGGCTCACCGCCCTCTCCGTCGGCGCGCGGCGCGCGAGGGGCGCGGATGCCACCCAGAACCATCGTAAGCTTGATGTTCTCTCGAGGAATGAGGATGGTGAAGCGGGAACCGGCCTTGCAAAAGTCGACAATGGCGGGAACCTTCTTCTGGCGCTGCAGCGTGGCCAGCATAATCTTTGCCTTTTGGGCGTTGTCCGACAGGTCGGTGTACTGCTTCGCCTTCTGGGGCTTGCCGGACCACATGCCCTTGCCCTCTTCCTTGGCCTTTTCTTGCGCGGCGAGGAGCTCGTCATAGTTGGAGGCCCTGTCCGTGTCGTCCTTGCGGTGTCGGATGACCGAGGCCCAGCCGGCCTCCACCAGCAGCAAGCCAATGTTCTTGCCCTTTTCCGTGACGGTGGCGACCTCTCTGGCCTCGAAGCCCTCCGTCGCCGGCTTCGTTCCGTCGATGCTGATCTTGACGTGCTTGCCGATCAGCTTCTGGCGGAGAAACTCTTTGGCCTCGTCGCGGAAGGGGCTCTCGGAGGGCTCGCCGGCGCGAGGGCCGCGGACGCTGGAGAAGTTGATTCGCTTCTCGACGGTGCCGGCCTTGTTCTTGACAATGATTGTGTCGGCGCCGACGATCTTGGTGACGGTCATCTCCTGGCTGCCGGCTTCGGTCTTGGCGACGTGGTTCTTGTGCAGGCGAAGCTTCTTAGACTGAGCCTGCTTCTCGGCGGCGCGCAGAGGCGCCATCTTCTCGCCCAGCATGGTAGAGTGGAAGTCGTTGCAGCGGGCGAGGCCGTCCTGCAGAAGGAACTCGGCGATGTTGCCGCGAGGGTGGATGATGTTGGCGACGAGCTGGCCCTGGGCGCTAGCTCCGACAATCTCGACCTTGACCTGGCGCTGAAGCAGTCTCGTCTCGACGAACTGGCGGGCCTCGTTGCCGTACTCTTCCGCGGGGTGAGTGGTGCCAGTGGACGGCACCATTCTCTCGGTGGAGGGCGTGCGGACACCGGCGAGGAGAGTCATGGGCTGGACATGCTTCTTGTCTGAGAGAAGCAGCCTGACGAGCAGGCGGTCACCGCTGAGAACCCGCTCCACGATGCCGTCGACCGTCTTGCCCTTCCACTCCTTCATGAACTCGGGGCCGCCGAGGTCGTTCTGGAGCTCGATGATGCCACCCACGCCGGCCCAGAGGCCCTTGCCCTCGCCCTTGGCCTGCGACTCGAGAGCGCGGAGCTTTTCGAGCCTCTCCAGGATCTCCTCGGACTCCTCTTTCCGGCCGGCATCCTCTCGGACCTTGAGCCAGCCGGCCTTGACGAGCTCGTCGGGCAGCTCAGTGCCGTCCTTGAGCTTGGCGGTGCCGAACTCGCGGCCGGACGGGACAGCGTAGTGGATGGTACATTGCACGGGCTTGCCGACGACGAGGTTTCGCAGGTACTCGCGGGACTGGAAGGCGAAGGGCTCGTCGCCGTCTCGTCTCAGGTGCGGGGCGGTCACGTAGGCGAGCGAGAGGGTTCGTTCGGCGGCGGGGTTGTTTGGGCTCGTCAGCACCAAGGTGTCGCCGCTGAGGACACTCTTGACGTTGCCGATGAAAGTCTTGGACATGGTGGAGGACCGGAGGCGGGCTAGACGAGCTCGGGGTCAGCCATAGGTGTCTCTGAGATGCTGCGGCGGCCGGCCACGGGGTGCCAGGCCAGTGACCTGGTCCACGCTCTGTGGACATGGACTCCCCGGCCGTGCAACACGGACAAGTGCATGCCGCGATGCATTGAAGCTCGGGACGTTGCAGCTCGATGCGTCATGAGAAAGACAGCCATCCAATCCACCGCCGCCACTCGAGCGCAGCAGCAAACCCACAGACCGGGTAGATCAATGGCCGCCAGCATGGGGGACGGTCACTTACTTGGGAGAAGACAGGAGGGCAGGACCGGAAGAAGGGAGAGAGGAAACAGCTAGTCAATGAGCCAGCTCCCAGATGATTGAGGCGATGATGCAAAGGAGAGCTTGACCGAGGGCTGCACTCGCGTGCCTTTTGGCCAGATGTCACCAATTTGGGCAGGCCGGGCGGCGGTGTGGGGCTCGCACAAGCTCCAGGGGACCGGCTCCACCCCCCTGGTTCGACGTCAAAAGGGTGGGCGGTCAATAAAAGCACGACCAGTGAATCTGGCCTTGAGTGGTGCGCAGCGTCGTCCCTCTTTTTTGTCACCACGTGGCGGGGCAGAAGCCACCAGAAGCTCTTTGTGCGGGGCGGGGGGGGGCTTCAGCTTCCCATGGAGCTCTCGGCACTGCGGTGCTTGCAGATGGGCATCAACATGGAACCGCACCCGACTTCGATGGCAGCACAAAGCTGGCCGGCTGTCTCATGGTAGTTCATGCGTGCCGGCAGATACGTCGTGCCATCGTCTGCAGTGTGCGCCTCGGTAGGGCTGCACCACCGTGGAGTTGGGGTAACTGCGCACACAGAATTTCGGCTACTACCCCTCATTTTGTGCGGCCGGTGATGTCAACGCCGAGCCGAGCTGCGCCGCCCAGGTGAACACAGAATGAAGAACAACTTAATATGTAGAAGGCCGCTTCGTGGCTTTGCGGGAAACTTGGCGTTCAATTGAGCATACTATGGCACCAATGTCCACCCGAGAAACCCCATTTCATCCATGACGCTTTTAGTTGCGGCGGTGTCTTCCTTGTACCTCCCGTGGCAGCTGCGCGGGCGAGCACTCTAGTTGGAGATGCCAATGACGCCTAGGGCCAATTCGTCAGTATCTTTTATGCAATCCTGAAAGCTCGGGGCTCGTCACATACCGCAGGCGGGACGGGGACCGGCGTTGCCAGTCTTGAGGGACTCCTCGTTGCCGCCCTTGCCGAGGTCGTCGGTGCCGGCGTGGACGACGACGGTGCGCTGCGAAACGAAGCTCGGTCAGCCATGTCCTTGTGTCTCTGTCTGGCTCTCCCGACTGGAGCGGGCACTTACGCCGATGATGCTGTGGGGGCCGATGAGCTTGATGTGCTTGTCAGACACGGAACCCTTGGCGTTGCCCTGGGCGTCGGTCTCGACGTTGCCGAGGTCGCCGACGTGACGCTCCTCGTCCGTGGGAGCACCGTGCTTCTTGCCGTGGGGGTTGACTGTCCGGGAGTTGTTTGCGTCAGCGCGTCTGAGAGGCCCTTGGCGGAGAGGACGAAAGCAATGACCTGCTGCCCGCTGCCAGGCGAGGCAATGGGAGAAGAAGGAGACATACAGTGAGGGCCGGCAGAGGTGCAGCCGTTGGTGTTGTCGCCAAAGGTGTGGATGTGGAAGCCGCGCTTCGCGTTGGCGTCGTTGCCCGTGATGTCCCAGGTGACCTTGGTGGGAGCGGACTCGGACTCCTGCTCGAAGATGACGTTACCCGTGACCTTGGAGTCACCACGGAGGACAGCGACTGCGAGAGACGAGACGAGTTAGTCCATGAACCAGTCACTCCAGTCAGTGCCGTGGTTCCTGATGTCACCCGGGCGCGGGCGCACAAGACAGAGGGGGCCGAAGCTGCCCATCAAGGGCCGCCGTGTCCATCAAGGGACTCGCTGCCTCGGAACCCTTTAAAAAGGGTCGCCGGGCCAGGCCAGGCTTGACGGAAGCAGAGAACGAAGCTGCGCCCATCAGGGTAGCTAGCCGTCGAGCGGCCGCTCAGGGGCGCACCTCGAGGGGGTGGTGGCTCGGGGGCGATTTCAAAAACTGCCTCAAACCAGCTCGCCGGCAGCACACAAAATCGCAGAGCAACACCCCTCCCCGTTGCTTCCGACGCCTATAAAGCGGCCCGACCCGACCCAGGCCAGGGCCAGACACACGGAGAACCACGATGCGCACGAGACGGTTGAGCACGTACCGGCCTTGACCATGTTTGCGGTATTGATGATTGGTTTTTTGTGGTTATAGTTAGGGAAAGAGGACGAGGTACAGGTGTTTTGTCGACGACGATGACGCGAGAGTGGAGAGAGGGGGAGGGGGAGGGGGACTCGACGGGTTTTGAAACGCGAGGAGGGACGGGCAGAGAGACGGAGACGGACGAGACGGACGGACGGGCTCGCACCAAGCAGAGCAGCCCAAGCAAGTCCACGCCAGCTCCGGCCAGCGGAAACAGCACCAGCTGCTGCACCCACAGCAGCACCAACCTCGGAACAAGGCGCGACGAAATTGAGCCCGCCCAGCCCAGGCCATCCGACGTGCCCCGTTGCCGGCGCGCGGAGTTACGAGGGGCTGCTGGTGCTGGTGCTGGTGCTTCCAGGTTGGTGCCATGGTGGGGTCTCCGTCCCGCCATAGGTGAGATACCGCTGCTGAGCTCGGCAGCTGGGGGGACCTAGAGCTGGGATGCTGGCCGGCGCTACAGCGGGAAGGGGCAACCGCGGGCGAGGTGAGGGGCAGCTTGTGCAAAGCCGCGCCGCCTATGCATGCAGCCCACTGCGTCATTCTTTGCGCAGGCCGACGCCAATGGCGAAACCTAGCCGCTGACAAATGCCTGTGCGCAGACGGGAGGATTCAGTCGTGGGCCAGCGAAGTACGTAACTCGGGATGTACTTCAGTATGGCTTCTGAGACACCGGATACGGCAACCGGCTGTCGCCAGTGAAAACGGATGGCGTTGCTCTCCAGGCTCTCACTGGTTGCAGACTTGAGGGTCACCGGCTGAGACAGTACCGACTGCAGTTTCACAATTCTGCATCTGCCTTGAGGTGGTAGAAACCAGGAGACACGATGCTCGGCGGCTGGATTGATAGTGCCGGTCTCTATGGAACGACTGCATCACGGCCATGGCCAGCGTCAGAGAGGACTACATTTTTGCTACACATCATACATAATAGCAGCAGCATTGAGCGGAAACGTATAAATGACAAAACGCCCGCTAACATCGACTACAAGGACAACAGATACAACCGTTTTGAATGAACAAGATTAAAGGAGAACCCAAAGACCCCCGGGTATATACCACAACCATGCTTTGCTTGCTTGCCTGCCTGCCTTCACGTCTCGGCCCGCCGCACCAGCTCCGCCGCCCGCTCGTCGCGCGGCACGATGCGGCAGGGGAACGGCTTGGGGTGGCTCGTCAGGCCCTGCGTCAGCTCGACCTCGGGCTCAATCTCGTTGCCGTGCTCGTCGCGCGCCTTCTCGATGCGCATGGTGCTCAGCACCGAGGCGACGACGATCCACACGCTCGCCTCGGCGAGGTGCTTGCCGATGCAGACGCGCCGCCCGAAGCCGAACTGGCCGCTGGGGAACGGCTCGCCCAGGCCGCCGCCGCCCTCTTCGCCTCCCGCCGGCGGCGCGAACCGGTCCGGGTTGAAGGCGTCCGGGTCCGAGTACGTGTCCGGGTCGTGCGTCATGGCGCGCGCGTTGGCGTAGACAAAGGACCCCGCGGGGATCCAGTAGCCGTTGTAGACGTCGTCGGCGAGCGAGCGATGCGGCACGCCGATGGGCGACACGGGGCACCAGCGCAGCGCCTCCTGCACAATGTAGTCGATGTACGTGAGGCGCGGCCTGTCGCTGAACGCCGGCAGCCGGTCGCGGCCGACCACCTCGTCGAGCAGCCGCCGCGCCTTGTCCTGCACCTCCGGGTGCAGCACCATGTTGAGGACGAAGACGAGCAGCGTCGCCCACGTCGTGTCCTGGCCGGCGGCGAAGACGGCGCCCGCCGCGCCCTTGATGTCGTCGTGCGTCAGCTCGGGCGTCTCGCCGCGCGCGAGCTGCGCCTCGCGCTGGTCCAGCATCTCCTTGATGAGGGAGCGGCGGCGGTCGCGCGCCGCGAGCGCCAGCACCGCCTCGAACGGCCGGTCGTGCAGGCCGCGGATGGCCCAGCGCCAGTCGCGGGCGAAGCGCAGCGAGCGGTCGTGGAACCAGCGCGGCAGCCACCGCAGGAAGGGGAAGAAGTCGACGGGGGTGCCGGCCGGGGCGCCGCCGTGGCCCAGCGCGTAGCTCGCGTCGGCGGCGACCTGGACCAAGGGGTCGTCGTCGCTGTCGATGGCGATGCCGAAGCCGATGCCCAGCACGACGGCCGTGGCGAAGCGCCGCAGCGCCTTGTCCCAGCCGCCGCCGGGCCCGCGGTCCAGGAAGCCCCGGAGCATGACGGCCGTCTCGCGGCACTGCAGCGCCTGGTACTGCACGATGCTGCCCTTCTGGAAGCTGCGCTGCAGGATGCGGCGGTGGGTGCGGAAGTCGGGCCCGTGGCGCAGAAACGTCAGCGTCTTGCCCCAGCCCATGACCTCGAAGAGCACGAAGCGCGGCCGGTCGCTGTAGTTGGCGCCGCGCTTGTCGAGCAGGTCGACGGCCGCGCGCACCGAGTTGAGCACCACGACGGGCTGGCCGAGGACGCGCAGGAAGAGCACGTCGGAGCCGTACTCGCGCGACCACCGCATGTAGGCGTACTCAGGCCCGTACGCCGGCACCACGCGGAGGTGGCCCAGCACCGGTTCGCCGGGCGGGCCGGGCGGCAGCGGCGGGCGCCCTCCGCGCTGGGGGAGCACCAGCCGGGGGAGCAACAGCCGGGGGAACCGCCGAGGCCGCGAGGAGCCGCCGCCGAGGCCGGCAGCCCGGGAGGCGAGGAAGAGGGCGGCGGCGGCGAGCAGCACGGCCAGCCCGGCCGGGCCCAGCAGGAGTCGCGCGAGGGCCATGGCGAGGCTCGAGGCGTCGATGGCATTGATGAGGGTTGTGTGGGTGTCGAAATGGCGGAAGCTGCGGCTGGGACGAAGACGACGGGAGGTGCAGATGGACGGACGCGCTCGGTGGTGACGCGCAGCTGTGCCGCCTCGAGCGGTCAGCCTCCGCTGCAACCTCACTCACTCAGGTGGTGGTGCTTCGCAGAAGGTACTGTAGCATTAGCAATGAGGTGACGGAGGTAAGTAATGCTAATCCAGCGCGTCCCAGTGGCGCAGCAGCTTGCAATGGAAGCTATGTGATACGCTTGCCGTCCTCGAGGCATGCGGCGCGGCTCCACCGGGCGCTGAAGGGAGCCCACCGCAAGTGCCTACGCTCACCGCACAAGATCCATCCTGTCCTTACCTTGGGTGAGTGCTGTTCTCGCCCCTAGACGATGGGCTGAAGGGGGGAGGGGCCAGCATGTCGGCGCCTCTCCCGAAGACCCTGGCCGCGGCACTCGGACGGAGCGGGCGCTACGGATGCTCTGCCGCTATCCCCCGCCTGTGGCTGCTCTGTAAATAGGTCCGTTGCCGAACGCAGGCAAAAGTCCACGCCGCCAGGCATGAACGTCAATCTCGGCACTCTGCGGGTTCGGGAGGCGGTGACGGCCGGCCCTCCGCTATCGCGCACGGCGGACAGCGCACCTACTCTCGGAGCTGCCGATATGGCGGACTTTCTCTCTGTCGGTCCGGCGGTCGGAGGCGAGATGCTTATACGTATGTAGTTCCCATCGCTTTCTGGCAAGTAGGGCTCATGGGAAGCCGGTCTATGCAGGTTCATGCCACCGACGTATCGCTGACTCCGCCGCGAGGTCCATAGGCAGAGAGCCAGCATGAAGGACAACATCGTGCTCTGTAAGTACAGTAGCAGGCGGCACTGGAAAAGGCTCTGCGCCATGCCGCTTCAATGAAACATGAAAGAAGCCCTCCATCTCGACGCCAACTGCCCGCAAACTGTCTGGTGCATCATGTGTCCGCTTGCCAGCGCAACGCCCGCATCTCGCCTTGTCTGCACTCATACCTTAGCCACAGCCAAAGCCACCACCACAGGTATCTCAATTGACTTTAAAATCCCGGCTTGGGACGGCAGGTAGGTACGTTTGCATAAACGCATTTCATATGTCGAGAGAGGTGTCACGCGACGTGCGTCTTCTCGGTGACCTGGAGCCGAGGGAATTCTCCCGTGGCACGGCTATCGTCCGATGCCGAGTACTTTGCGTCTTGCTATCTCTCATTTACTATACGGAGGTACCGACTCCGCCCCCGTCAACAGCTCGTAAACCTTGCGCCGCGGCACATTCGTCTTCGCTTAGTAGAAAGGACCTACGCTTGCTTCTGGAAGGATCACAGAGGCTAGAGCGGGTCGGCCGAGGATCCAACGCCGGCCATGTCGCGTGCAATGCACCTCAGACGCGCGGAGTCGCCGAACAAGGGCAGTTGGATAGCCGGCGCCTCTCGCTTATCGTTATTCTCTATGCATATCGTGCCTAGTCGAATGCCCTGCTGAATGTCCTCCAAGCAGCGTCCCTCCGCCGGAGCTGCCTGCTCCATTCATGTCTGTACATGTATCCGCAGTTCGCCTCGCTTTGCATCAGCGCATCTCGTAGCGACCGCCGTCCAATGGCATGTCCGCAGGCAACGAGCCGCATGAAACAAATCTCCTCGGGCAAAGACGATCAGGCCATGCTGCCACAGTGGCCTCGACTTTGGGGTGGCGATGGCCTCTCCTATAAAGGATGATCAAGGTCGCCGCTCCAAGGACGGGAACCAGGCAACTCAACTCACATCTTCTCGACATCAAATAGTTACACAGCACCCAACAACGAGAACAATAACAACAATTCTCAACACTACCCAACATGAAGGCTACCATCGCTTCTCTGGCTCTGGCGTGCGGCACCGCCGTCGCTACCCTCCGCGATCCCAATGTCAGTGCCGTCCTCCAATACACGCATCGTTACCAAGAAAAAGAGAAAAAGAAACGCTAACAGACATTAGGCTTTGACTCAGGCAGATATCCAGAACCTGGAGACTACCGAGGCGCACGTCTGCTGGCAGGTTCGTGGCACCACCCGTGCATGACCCCCGTTCCGGCTTGTCGCGGCCGAGAGCCGTATATGCCCATTTCGTGTTGCTAACGCAGCATTCATCATTAGGGCGAAAAACAGAACCCCTCTCCTGAGGATGAAATGTCGCTCACGGGGCTTGTTCACTGCCAGATTTATCCTTCCGGCAACCAGCAGCAGGTGAGAAGATGTAAACATCCCCGTCGGACGGAGCAGGTACTGACAGCAAGAACAGGCCGATGAAGCAAGTCACATCCCAACCCGATGATATGGTTGACGGCCTTATGTTGCCCAGCTCGTCGCTTGGATGACCCAGCTAACCGCGCCGTCACGAATATAGGTCCTCGGCCCCGCTGGTATCAAGTCAGTCTGCGGCGAATCTGAGGTGCGTACTTGTTCCAGAAGAGCTCTCCATTATGGACGCTAACGCGATCCACAGTGCGTCGACTGCAAGAAGGTTGACAAGGTTCGTACTCGGACTGCCGGCCGTGCTGCGGGCCAATATATTGCCTGCCGCCCCCGAACTTGACCTGACGAGGAGTACAGGGCGAGGTGCGGTACGAGTGCCGTATGAAAAACTACCCCAAAATGATGCCCGGGACGCCTGCCCGCACCGACAGCCAGTGGATCAACTGGGGCGTATACAGGCTGTGCTACGGCGACGACAAAATCTCGCTGACCACAACCGACCCCAAAGACTGCATGGCCGTTCTCAATAACTGCGTGACGCAGATAGGCAACGGCGAGGATCCTTTTAAAACCGTCCAGTCGGCCATCTTCTGCGCGGAGGAAACGCAGTAAGTCATCCCCTGAGAGCGCCGCCAGGCCAGCTCTTCCGCCGCTGGTCTGGCCGCAACGAGAGTGGATCGTGAGAAACCCCGATGCTAATGGCAGCAGCCATTCCGTTTCTCCCCAAAAGCAGATGCAGACGTACACGAGACAGTGCTGGAAGGATATCGATCAGCCGCAGCCAGGGTTCAAGATGATGTCCGTGCGCGACTGCATCAAGGGTCGTGCTGCTGTCGACGCGGCCGTGAAGGCTAGGCTGGCCAAGATGCCAAAGCTGCAAAGGTGGGATATGGAGACCCGAAATAAGGTTGAGCAGGAGGAGTATAACAAGGTCTTCATTGTCAGCGGATCGCAGTAAGTCTCGCAAGCCGGAGGCCTGCAGCTCGCGACAGCAGGCTTGTCTCTGCGGCAAAGTTGCCTCTAAAGACAAGGTGGCTGCAGGGCTCCGTGCACACGGTGATGGTCATGGGAGCTGCATGTGTGGGAATGGTGCGTCGATTTCGTAGACTACTTCTAGCCTTCTCATCTGGGCCGTCAGCCTGCTTCGGCGGGCCACACGCGGCACAGGTTCTATTTTGAATATCATCTTGGTGTCTCAGTACGCTCCGGCTTTCTTCTGCATGTGTATGCATTATCACTGTCACTGGGTATGAACTTCCATTGGGAGCCGCTCCGGAAAGCGAGTTGCCAACTAGTCGCGATCAGCGTACTCGAGCCCTTCAAGGTGTTATGGCGGTGTGATGGAGTATGAGTCGAGCATCTGATTAATGAAATCCAATAACAGGCAAATCCCGCGTGGAAATCCAAGGATCACGGGTTTGGGATGCCTCTTGTAGGACACCTTGCTCTCTTCGTGACGTCCTCCGTACGGATTGGTGTGGGCTCGCGGTGGGAATGGCATAAACGAGCACGCGCGTGGCTCGCTCCAACTCATTTACAAATCAGTGTCAAGGCCCCATTCTAAATGCCAGGCTCGCTGGCCAAACGCAGCTCTCAGAGCGAGAATCGAGCTTACCGGACACGACCGCAGGATGGCCCTAGGCTGGCCATGCATTGATGACGAGAGTCTTGGCCGTGAAAGTGGCGAGCTGTCGTACGACGCATGCATGGCTGGAGGTCCGTTGCCCGCGCGCCCGTCTTCATGCCACTCGAAGCTCCGAGTCCAGGCGCAGTTGATTCTCGCAATGCTCGCCGAATGCATTATTAGTGATGTGGTCTTGGGCTCGGCGTGGCTCGGCACCGCAGCGTTTCGCCGTGGTTGAGAAGAAATGGCGGAGCGAGCGTCCTTGCCGCTCCGCAAACTAGATGGAACTGCTTGATCGCCCTCTCATCAGAGGCTAGATAACACGCGCGACATTGCATTGAAGTGCTCAGGAGCCAGGCCACGGAGGTTCCCGCGACAGTTGTGTCTCGTCCATCATGCTGCTGACGGGGGAACCCGGCAAAGGTTAAAGGACCGGCCCCATGTGCGCAGGCGTGGCTTGTCCATCCCGTCACTTGGTCTGTTCGACTACACGGCGAGGAATCAGGCCCTGTGACACATTTTCCACAACTTGGCGTGCTCGTCATGGAGCGCGTCTTCCCCATAAAGGAGTTGGGCGGCCCGGACGTGGCCACCTCCAAGGACGCTACGACGCAGCGACCAGTCGAAATACCGCCGCACCCCCCAAGCCTAGACAATAGCCAATATAGGCACACCGTCGACTGCTTAGGGTGTTATCCTTTGGCCTTTTGATTTTGGTGATAATGAAGGCTTTCATCGCCGCCCTCGTTTTACTATGTGGCCTTGCGCTCGCCGCCCCGCAGTCCAATGACTATGCCGGGTTCGAGCCGTTGAGGCTCTCCTGGTGGAAGCAGTACGAGGGCAGGATGGAATTGAAGTGCTGGCTTGCAAGTCCACCCGCGCCGGCACAGGAGGTACAGCCCTCGGTGGAGTGTCGCTAATGGGTTAGCGGCACATAGAGACAAGACGACCTTGGGACAGTTGATTGTAAACTCTACACAAGGGTGAGTGACGTTGCGTGAAGCATCGGACATGGTTTTGTTTTCGATTTTTCAGTCGGCTTTGGGCTTACCGTTGAGGTGCAGGACCGCCCTACTCACAAGGTGCGATTGAATCCAAGGCCACGGCCTTCACCTCGGCCGCCCGACGCTGACGACTCCCTGGATATAGGACCGCTTTGACCTTGCGGGCTACTGTGGCAAGACTCTGGACGGCGTACGACCAACCCGCACCTTGAGCTAGCCCGCAAATAAGGCGTGAAGGAAGCCGCTGACAAGTATATCTAGTGTGAGGATTGCGATCTGGGCCTGATGCTCAAGAACGAACGCCGAGGGCTTCTTCACCCGAGGAGGATTGGCGCCCCGGTGAGTGCAGAGGCGGTGCCGGCCGTCAAGGGTAGCAAGGCGTATCCATCCGACACGGAGCACTGGCCGTCGCAGATTCCCTTCATGTGTAAGCTCAAGAGGCAGCCCGATGCAAACTGCAAGCACAGCTCCAAGGACCGGGAGGCCAAGCGGCACTGCATCGAGCGAAGACAGGACTCGTACTGCACGATGAAGGAGGTGGCCAGCAAGCCGACGTCGGTGGACGACTGCCGCCTGGCCCTCGTCAGATGCGCCTGGGTATCGCAGGGGAGGAGCTTTTCCGAAAAGTGGGATGCCATGACGACCTGCGCGGACGGGATCCTCCGGGGCAAGACGGCAGGGGAGCGGCCGAGGGAGGTCTCTTCCGGCTGGACAAGGAGGCAGACGGCGACGACGGCGAGCCAGCGGACGGCGCGCGGTTTGCCTGCCGTTTGACGTCGCGATGGTGACGTGAGGGTGAGGGCAGGGGTGGGAAGGAGGAGTGAGCGGAAGTCGAGTAGATGGCCGAGGGGTTGGGTCTACGGTCTCCAGTCGAGGGCGAGGAGCTTATGATGAAGCGCGAGATGCTTGACAAGACTGATATATGCCTGTGTTGACTTCCACCGGTCGTCTAGGCCAGTTGACATTGCATGGGTAGACATGTTGTACCGAGAGAGCTACCTCCTCCGTGCCAGTCCGTACACATGCGAAGCCGTGTGATGCTGTTCTTTCACAACCACCAAACCAGCACCCAACCAGGTGGGGAGTACGAACAAGGTCATTTGCACATTTCAGAATCGCGCCTCATGTTGATGCCCGCCTCGGGCAACGTGCCTCGGGAATTTACATGCAGTAGTGCGGACAGACTTTTGACGTCGTGCCGCCCGCCGCCAGCAAGCCATCGCCGACCCTTCCCCACATCGTCCCATCCAGCCCGTGCGGCGCCCATCAGCCACCCAGGAGAGCCATTTCCGCGGGGGGGCGACGTCCAAAATGGGGGGTGAACCTTGCCGCCAGAGTTGCCGGCAAAGGCGGGCGGGCTGGCTAGCTGGCTGCTGCTGCTGTGTGCGCCCCCCTCGTTGCCTGCCACGAGCCCCTACCACCTGCGTCCGTTGCCTGCCGTGAGCGCTCCCTGACCGGCCGCCTGGCGCCGGCAATGCGGGTGCGCTTGCAGGGTTCACTGCAGCGCCGGGAGGGGGGCCAGAAGTCGGGCAGAGTCCAGACGCAATCGACGACGAGCGAGCGAGCAAGAACGGCATACAACGCAACGCACGCGGGGAGGGGGAGGGGGGGTTAGAGCCGCGGCAGAGACCAGAAGGTGAGGTGGGTTGTATTAGCTGATAGGAAGGATGTATTATGTAGGGATGACCGGATGGTTTTTTTCCTTGGGCGAGTCGACGACCGACCAGACGGGCAAGACTACCCAGCTGGGCGGCGGCATGCGAAGGCGAAGTGGATGGATGGACCATCGCGCGCCCCCAGTGGGACGGGCGGGTGTGTGCCGCCGTCTCGGATGGAGATGGGGCGGCGCCGGTGCCTCCATTTTCTTTTTGGGACTCGTTTAAAGGTTGACGGCCGGCGACTTTCATGTTTGTAGTTTGTAGTTTGTACGTGTGCATCATCATCACCACCATCCTCATCATCATCATCACAACTTCTCGTCACTGCCTCCAACGACGACGATACCTATCACCACCTCCTCCACCACCCACAACAACAATAACAACTTCCGCCAGACTCGACCAACTCCCCGCTTTCCAATCGCCGCCCTTCACATCAAACATCGCCATCGCCGTCCGCGTCCTCGACCCCCCGACCCCCAGCATGGCGGCCTTGCGCGCCACAGCGGGCGCCGCCTTCACCACGGCGCCCTCGGCGGCAGACCCGCACCGCTACCAGACGGGCTTCGGCAACCGCTTCGCCTCCGAGGCCGTCCCGGGTGTCCTGCCCGTCGGCCGCAACGTCCCGCAGAAGGTCAAGTACGGCCTGTACTCGGAGCAGCTCAACGGCGCCGCCGTCGTGTCGCCCCGCGAGGCCATCCAGCACGTGTGGATGTATCGCGTGCGGCCCTCGGTCGCCCACGGCCGCGTCTCCCCGGCCCCGGACCTGAACCCTCACGTACGTACATACGCCTTCTCTCTCTCTTCCCGTGTCTCTCATTTTCGTCCCCCCGCTGCAATGTAGCCGCCGCCGGCTGACCCTCTCTGGCAGATCGAGTCGTGCTTCTCGAGAGCAAACGACAAGGTCGAGTTCGTGGCGTCGCAGGAGGCCTGGGACCCCTTCCCCCTGCTGGAACCCCACGATGAAGCCGCCGCGGCCGGCAGCGGTGTCGGCGGCGTCGACTTCGTGGCCGGCATCCGCACCATCGGCGGGCAGGGCGACCCGACGCTGCGCCAGGGCCTCGCCGTCCACGTCTACTCGGCCAACGCCTCCATGGCGAACCGCGCCTTCTGCAACAACGACGGCGACATGCTGGTCCTGCCCCAGCACGGCCGCCTGCACGTCCAGACGGAGCTGGGCTGGCTCATGGTGCGCCCCGGCGAGCTGCTCGTCGTCCAGGCCGGCCTCCGCTTCCGCGTCCTGCTGCCCGACGGGCCCTCGCGCGGCTACATCCAGGAGGTCTTCGGCGCGCACTACCGCCTCCCCGAGCTGGGCCCCGTGGGCTCCAACGGCATGGCCCTGCCGCGCGACTTTGAGCACCCCGTCGCCAGCTTCGACGTCGACGAGACGCCCTGGGACGTCGTCTACAAGCTTGCCGGGGGGCTGCACTCGTGCCGCCAGGGCCACACGCCGTTCGACGTCGTGGCCTGGCACGGCAACCTCGCGCCCTACAAGTACGCCCTCGACCGCTTCGTCAACCTCGCCAACGCGAACCACGACCAGGCCGACCCGACCGTGTACTGCGTGCTGACGGCCGGCGGCGGCGGCATCGGCGACTCAGGATCGCTGACGGACGTGCTCATCTTCACCAAAAAGTGGCTCACGGCCGAGGACACGTTCCGCCCGCCGTACTACCACCGCAACATGAGCACCGAGGTCATGGGCCTGATCCAGGGCCGGTACGGCGGCAGCAGCCACGTGCTGGCCGGCGGCGGGCTGAGCTACGAGGCGAGCTACATGCCGCACGGCGAGACGTACGCGACGTGGCGCGAGGCCTCGACGCGGGAGCTGCGCCCCGAGCGCGTGTGCGACGACGCCACGGCCTTTATGTTCCACATCGGCGCGCCGCTCTACCTGACGCGCTGGGCGCTGCGCGGCGAGGGCGCTGCCGCGCTGCACGCCGGCGAGGAGGAGGACGCCCAGTGGGATGACGTGAGGGCGCACTTCCTCGATCACCTCGACGAGGTGGACGCCGACCTGCGCGCTGCGGGGCTGCCGTCGCTGGGGCGCGAGGGCAATGGCGAGCTGAACTGACGGTGCTAGATGGGTGGCGGATGTGGACGTGGAGCGTTGTTGCATTTCTGGCTTTTTGTCTATATAGGAGACTGGAGGGTTGAGCGAGCAGAATATCTGGCATGGGAGAGGCGTTGGGGCGCAGGAGCAAACATGATTCAACGGCCTATCTACGATGCATATCTAAGCACGCCGTACATGCAATGGCAATAGATTCATGATACGGAGTTGATGGCTGTACTAGCCGGTCGAGGGTAGTTCAACGCCCATACCAGGCGGCGCTGCGCCTTGCGATAATACACGCGGCAGTGTTGGTCGCCGGTCCAACAGGCTTGCAGAGGATTACGAAGTACGAAGCACGTAGGTGCCATATCGTCCGTACATATAGGTACGTGATGCCTTCCAAGCTGCGGCGTCTCCAACAAGACATATGCCCAAACAAATACCGGACGTTGGCCGAACGGGCCCCTCGCTCTGCGGTCTGCTCGCCCGCGTGGGGGGGCGGAGGGGAGAAACTCACCGCCTCCGGAGCAAAGAGCCGACCGACGGTTGTGGACTCGCCGCGGTTGCGGCAATCCGCGACATGCGTCGAGCGCGCCGTCGCTTGTGTGGCAGGCTGGCTTGACTGGCGCGGAGATCTACAGAGCGGGAACTGCCGTGGCACTTGTTTACGACGGCCCGTGTGTTGGTGATCGTGTTGTAACGCGGACACTCGTAATGCAGGTGGGAGGCCAAAGGCCCAAGCTACCGGTGTATGCCATAGGTCGAGCGGTGGTGGGCTCAGCAGGTGCAGGAGCCTGTGCCGTCGCCGGGTATGATTTGCAGTCTGGTTCACATCAGCGTTTATCATGCCGTTGGGTACGAAGTTTGTTGTACACATATGTGCGTACAGTACCTACTGGCCGGTTGAGCAATTTCGTACAACTACCTTGCGTACCCAGTTGCCTGGCCGCAGCCTTCCGCAGTCATTTCTGTGCGAGCCCCGTGATTCGGCAGCCATGCGACGGGCTACGCTCGAATTGGGCCTATCCTTCGAGACATGGACCTTGGGGCTGTGGACGTGGCCGAGATGCAATGGCCGCGCCGTGGCTGATGGCTGACTGGGCCACATACATACATGACATGCCATATGTACATGCATGGGCACATCCCGGGAGAGGGCTTTGTTTGCTTCGATCTGGAGGTCCAATTCGTCGCCGTTGTCGTTGTGTACCGGACGGTACGTTGTCGTGAGATGTCGGGGACTGAGGGGCATGCAATCATACCTCGACACGGTCGGGGATATGCCGTCGACGGCGTATACTATGGGTCAGTTCTGTGCTCCCTGGCATCGATACCCGAGACTTGCTGTTTACAAGTATTTGGTGCTGCCCCCGGCTTGTCGGGCCGTGGTGACGGCGGGGCCCGGAGCGGCGCGGGCTACCGGGCTCCACCGAGCGGTGGCTGAGCCCGCCGGGGTGAGGGCCGGGGGGTCAAGCTTCCCCTTCCCGTATGACGGACCCTCGCAGCCCGTTGACAGGTTTCACCCGCACTGCATCGTACGTGTTTCGGCGTCTGCGAGGATCAACAAAGAAATATGCCGCCATGAACTCTCTAACGCAAAGCTCGTGATGTGCACTCGCCGGAGGAACTGCACCAGTAACGTCGTCGACCCTTTCCCCGGCCACCCACGCACGGGCAACGTCGAGAAGCACCCGCCGAGACCTTACGGGCTTATAATTTAAGCAGCGAATGCCAAGCGCGACGGTAGGACGAACGTGAACGAGAACGAGCCCCATGCAGCCGTGCGGGCTCCAGGAGCCATGGCACAACAATGGAGACGGCATCAGTTGGAGCAGTTGGTTGTCACTCGAGCTGCAAGTCCTACATTTCATCGCATGCGAAAGATGCAATACGACGCACCCGGGGAGAGCGTTAGATACCGTCTATGCATGGTTCCCGTGCAGTGCAGTGCAGTCCAGGAGACAAACAACTCAGTCTAGTAAAGCAAAGTATAGGGGTCTCGGGGATATTAAGCTTAACCTCCGCCCCCAAAAGGCGCAGGGAACCCTCCGCGAGGTAGCACGCTCAGATGGTCCTAGCCAAACACACATGCCGTGCCCAAACGTCCAATCTAGGGGTCTCGAGTCTCGGGAGTCCTATCCCGCTACCTTGGTACCTGATGAGGATGCAGCAAAAGAGTTGCTTTTGCATACTATTATGTATGGAGTATGCATGTAAGTAGGTATAGCTGGCCGTGTGGTATTCCGGGGGGCAGGGCTCCGTGCGTCAGGCCCCGTCTCGTATATCAGACGCAGGGGCCCCCTCACGACTTGGAGCCACTGCGCCGGGGCAACCACAACACCACCACCGGGCACGCCGACGACGTTGGCTGCGTTTCGAATCTGGAGGCGCCACGACGATGTGACGTGCGTGGCATGTTGTTTGCAGTTATACTCGTACATTTACATACTACACCAGACATGTACGTACTTCGTACCCTGATCGAGGCAGGCCTCGGCGCTGGAGGTAGCCCAATGTTTGGCATCCTTGATACCTTGCGCGTTTCTGTTCGGGAATCGGGAGGAAGTTCTGCCCAAGGTGCCACCGCTCCGAGGTCGTTAGCCAGGCACCGGCTGCCGCATCACTCCAACGCCGTTACGCGTCGTTGTGACCAGCACGCGACGGGGAGCGCACTTGTGCAACTTTAAAGCGCCAGGGCGGGCAAAGGGTCCTGTCCCCCATCTGCTGGTGCAGCAGCTGCACGCCACAGGGCCGGGACAGCGTCAGCACCATAAAGTTGCAGCGCGCCTTGGGGGGCAGAAGCCTTGGAAACGTCGCCGTCTCACCTCGGCCCTGCCCTGTGGCCAGCGCGCAGAGGCGTGATTGGGCCGCGCCGTGGAGGACCCCGGGGTTCGTGGAGCCGCCGCCCAGCCCTAGAACCCCTGGGGGTCTGGTGGCAGGAAATCCAGGGTTTCGGGCTCCGTGGGATCCCAGTGAGTGGAGGGTGGTGCAGTGGAGGGTTCCATGGGATGGATGCGGGCAGTGGGGGAGGCTTCCAGTTGCTAAGGTAGGGGGTTTGCCAGGCTTGCCAGGGCGTGGCTGGCAGGGCAGAGGGAGCCCCGGAGACCTGGAGCGGCGCAGGAACCAGAGAACTTGAACCTTACCCGACCTGGGTGCCTGCGACTCTTGCAGTCCACGGGTAGGTGCGCAGCCAGCTGCCGCTGCTGTTGATGTGCAACCTGGAAGGAAATGTTCCCGTCCGTGAGCACTGTCAAATGCGCCGTACCTAACAGCATCAGTGGCGCGGGCCTCCATCATCACTGCCCGTCGTCAGCAGCAAAGCACGAGCACCAGCAGCAGCGCGCCCAACACACACACACATACACGGGCGATCAATCAGCCTTCCAATTCTCGTCCCTCAGCCCCATCAATTCATACATATGTCATTATCCGCTCTGCCCGCGCACACAAGCAGGCACGCGCCACACGCAGATCTACACTGCCACCTCTGTCTGCACACACCTTCCCGCTTGTTCGTCAGTGCCACGCCACACAGCCCCCAACAGGTTGGTGGCTCCCGTTCCCCGTCAGGCCAGGTACCCGACCCGGTAACCTCAGTGAGCGGCCGGTATTATTGAGGTACCCAAGCTGCCTGACGACCACCACACACTCGCTCGCTTCTGCCCGCCCGTGGCGGAGCCCCAGCAGGGCGAGTGGCCCCCCGGCGTGCGGCTCCCCCGTCATTGGCTTCCGCTCTCCTCCAGGTTCCAGTAAGTTCCCAGCCAGGCGGCCCGCATAGCACCGGAGCCCGCGCCCGAGTGGAGTGGAGAGCAGCTGGAGCACTCGAAGGCGCTGCCTCACTGCACCAAGTCCTCGTACCTCACTAGCAGCCCTGGAGCAGCACCCGCCCGTACTCGCACACTAAACGGTTGTGCCCAGCCGCCCGCTCCTCGCCTGTGGATTCCAGCTTGAGCAAAAGACCCTCCTCGCCCGGGACACGACACGACACGACCCTTCACACTTCGACATCGTCATCCGCTCCGTGCCCGTGGCGCTGCCTCGCCTCGCCCACAGACGCCGCAACCCTCTCGGAGGCCTGCCAGACCATCCGCCGCCCACCACCTTCGCGGTACCTCGTTGTTCTTCCCACACGAGATTCGACCCGACCGCCTCGAGAAGCCCGACCGAGGCGGTAGCAGGTGATCCCCCAGAACCCAGCCTCTGGCCGCCACCACCTCCCGCGCATGGGCGCCACAGACACCTCAACCTCGCAGCCTCGCCGACCTCGCTTTCGCGATACATGACCGGCCTCCTCCTTGCATCGTCGCGCCGCCGCTGTCAATGCGCCCGTCCCTCGACCAGCGCCCGCCGAGCTGAGCTCTGCCCGTGTCGCGACGACGACACCGACGACGACCGCGCATAGCGGGGTTTCTTGTCACCGACGACAGCTCGCCTCCGACCCCGTCAGCAGCCGCCGCGCTCACGCCTCCCTACCGCGCCCACCTGTCCGTCGCATCGCAATCGCCGTCGACGGCCACCGCCCGCCATGTCCTTTCGCGGCGACGACCAGCGCCGCTACGGCAGCGTGCCGCCCGTCCAGTATCCCGTCGCCGGGGACCAGCAAGGCGTGGGGAGGCGCCCCAGCTTCAACACGGGCGACGACTCGGCCTACTACGCCAGACAGCCCGCCCACGAGCCTCCTGCCGCCTCTGTTGCTGCCTCGGCCGCTGCTCATGGCGCCCAGCCTGCCACCGAGGACGAACTCTTCCTGACCAGCCCTGCCTCAAACTCCGGCTCCTCCTTCGCCCGCTCACAGTTTGGTTCCACCAGCAGCGCCCTGTCCGGCTTCCAGCATCACTACCAGCAAGACACGACGCCCTCGACCCCGGGCTCGCAGACCACGAGCTACAACCCCCAGACCTTTGCCCATCAATCCGCCGCCGGCTTCCAGCGCTCCCAGTCCACCACCCTCCCCTACCATACCGCCACCAGCCCGCGATACTCCAACACCACCAACGCCGCCGCCTCCTCCTACAACACGTCGCCCGTCGCCAACTTCACCCCGCAGGCGTACAACCCCGCCGCCTACGCCAGCGCGCATGCGCCCCAACGGCACCCTACATATCACGGGTACGGGCAGGAGCAGGGATACGGCGCCTCGGTCGGATCTGGCGCTGCGCCAGCCTACGGCCAGTCCCCAGCTGCGACGTACGCAGCGTCCTTCCAGCAGCCCGTGCGCGCTCCCGCCGTCCAGCAGCAGCCCATGCCCACCAGTCCTTCGTCCTACGCTGCGCCCGGCTCCCAGGCTCAGACCCCAACTTACGACCCTTCACAATACGCCGCCGCCCACCGCTCGAGCTACGACGGCCACGTCGACGGCCAAGCCGCCGCTCCGTACCCGTCTGGATCATCACCGGTCCCGTATCCTACCACCACCTCGCATATACCTGTCGGACCCAACTATCAGGCCAGCGACCACCCTTCTTACTACACTCGCCAGTCTAGGTCGGACTCGCAAACGTCTCCCCGGACCTCGCCTCGGGTCCAGCCTCAATCGCCCTCCGGGCTGCAAAGGCACCCCACGAATGCGCCGCTCCCGCGACGGCCGTTGGATCCCCCGCTGCCACCTAGCAGGTCGATGGAGGACGTGCCCGAGGAGCCCTATTGGGACGAGGCCGGACGTCCGTTCCGCGCAGAGTACGGCAACGAACACCTGTCCTCGGACAGTATCATGCAGGAAATCGAGGATGAACTGCGTCGCAGCAGCGGCACCAATCAGCTCCAGTCGGCGCCATCGCCGCATAACTCGCAGGTTGCAGACGAAATCGTGGATCAGCTCCGCCGACACAGCTCGGGGGCGCAGTCCCACTCCCCGTCAGGTACCCGCGCGTCTCCTGGCGGCCACCGCCGTGCCTTCTACGAAGACTACGATGACGATCCGGAGGGGACTGCTGGCGTGCTGGCCATGCAGCAGGCTGAGCTCGACGACCGGCGCTTTAGCGGCAACACTCTTACATACGGCAGTGACGCGCCCCCAGCTCTCTCGCAGCCTCAGCTGCAGTCGCACTCGGAAGAGCAGGCGTATAGCTCTGGCTCCAGCGACTTTGGCGGTGCAGTGGACCTGGGCATGCTGAGCGGAGGATACGCTGGTAGCCTGACGTACGGCGTCGACATCGGATCGCCGCCGGGGCAGACGTCGCTCTCCGAGGCGGGCCGGCCACTACCTACCCCAGGCTACTATGCTTCACTGGGCGACAAGTACGACAACGCGCAGGCCTACAAGGATGCCGAGGTGGACTACGGAGATACTGGCGGACTGCAGGCTCCCAAAGAGCATCGCCTCAGCTTCGACGAGGGCAGGGAGGAGCGTGTGTCGGTCCACTCGCGCCAGAGCGGAACCGAGTCTCCGACAAAGGACGACTACCAAGATCTCTTCTACCACCCAGGCCTCACCAACAGGCCGCTGCCGCCGCTGCCACCCCAGGGGGCAGCCTCGGACAGCAGCTCGATGCTTTCGACTCACACCAGTATGCGATCCCAGCATCAACAGCAGCATCAGCATACGCTCAGCGCCGAGCTTCGCTACTACCAGGCCGAGAACCCAGAGGCGTACTACCAGGCCGGGCAGCAGACGCTACAGCCGGAGAGGTCAATATCGCTATCTGGTCACAGCAACACGCCTCAAGTTCAGGCCCCCGCTAGGTCGAGAACCGATGCAGCCGAAGAGCGCAAAAAGGCCAGGGGTCAGGTCCCCCCACAGCCAGGCGCGCCGCCATTCAGCGACTACGATTCCAACGCACCCACCGTCGGGGGCGCATTCGATGGCATCACTCTACCGAGCGGCGGTCGTAGGAAGAAGTTTGTGCCGTCCAAGCTGACCGCTTCCGACTTTCGCAGGTGCGCAGAGCCTTGGGCGCTCAGCAGCATCGAAAACTGGATCCGTTTCATGGGTGAGGGTGAGCTCGATCTGAGGGAGAAGACCATCGAGGAGGCCATCACCAACCTCTTCACGCACAAGGTCCCCACCATGAACGTGGCCGACGCCGAGGTCCTCAGCACTCAGATCACCCAGCTCATGCTCGAGTCCAAGACGCTGCTCCCGGACGAGGAATGGGTCAAGTTTGGAGAGGGCCACATCTCGGGGGTTCTGTGGCAGCTAACGGGCGCAGGCTGCTACGCCCCCAAGCTGCACGAGGTAGAGATCAGCGGCCGCTGCTACTCGCACCACTGCACGCGCACGCTCAAGAAGGTCGACCTGGACGACCTCTTGCCAGACGACCCCAAGGGCGAGGCGTGGAACGTGTTCTACAACCTCAAGAAGGAAGACTGGGAGTCGAAGCCCAAGAAGGAGGTTGACCGCCAGAACATCCTGCACGAGATTGTCACCGGAGAGGACAACTATATCAAGCAGCTGGACGTTTTCCGGACTTTATACCGCGACGACCTGCGAGCCCCGCGCAACCCGCCCATCCTTAAGCCTGAGAAGCGGGAGAGGTTCCTGGCCGCCGTCTTCGGCAAACTCGACACCGTGCTGCGTATCAATCGCGAGTTTCTCTTTGCCCAGCTCAAGTACCGCCAGAACGAGCAGGGCCCGTGGATCGTCGGCTTCAGTGACATCTTCCGAGAATGGATCAGGAAGGCAAAGTCCGACTACATCGAGTACGCTACGGGCTATCCGCGAGCCACGTACATGGTGCGAAAGGAGGCGGAGAAGAACCTGCTGTTCAAGAAGTTCCTCGAGGATAAGCAGAAGCACAAGTCGTCCCTGAAGCAGGACTGGACGCACTTCCTGATCACCCCGCTGCAGCGTCTGCAACGCTACATCCTCCTTCTGCAGAGCGTCGAGCACAAGATGATTGGTGACAGCGAGGAAAAGGCCAACCTGCAAAAGGCCATCCAGGAGATCCAGACGGTCACGCACGAGTGCGACGCCAAGGTTGCCGAGACGAACAAGAGAGTCCAGATGCTGGAGCTGGATAGGATGCTCGTCCTCCGACCAGGCTTCCAGTCCGCCTTGAACCTGGACCACCTGGGGCGCGTCTTGATTATGGAGGGAGAGTTGCAGAGAATGGGCTCCAAGGGCATGCGCTGGGTTGACAGCCACGCACTGCTATTCGACCACTACCTTATCTTGGCCAAGGTTGTTGTGTCCAAGGACGGCAAGGCAGAGAAGAAATACGACGTCTCCAGAGAGGTACCCCTATCCCCCACTCGATGACCTGCAATTGAGAGTTTCGACTGATCCGTTCTAGCCCATTCCCATGCCGCTACTCTTCCTGGAAAGCATGAACGATGAGCCTGTCACCAAGCAAAAGGGCATCACCGCTCCCCTTGGCCGCGCAACGACCGCCTCGGCTTCGGGCACGGGACTTAGCAAAGTGGCGACCAACGGCAGTGGACGACCCGGGCTGGAGCATACGGGCACGAGCTCGTCCATGAACTCCCTTGCGCAGACGACATCCAACAACGACGCCGAGGGCAAGATCTTGTACCCGTTCAAGATCAAGCATCTCGGCCACGAGGTGTACACGCTGTATGCGTCGTCTGCTCGCGACCGGCTGGACTGGTGCACGAGCATCATCGAGGCCAAGACGAGGCACGCCAAGGCGCTCTTTTCCCAGAATGCAGAGCCCTTCCGTCTGCGAGTCCTTGCCGACGCGTCTTTCCACTACGACGTCACGTCCATGTACGCCAGGGCCTCTGGTGTCCCAGTCAAAGGAACGCCTCTCGACCGGGCCATTCAGGACATCGAAAAGGTAATGGGGCCTGCGCACGGCACCCCTCCGGTGTGTCGAGCCCAGGTCAACTGCGCGACCGGGTTCTCTGCGTTTGGCAGATCCGCGATTGCCATTGGCACGGACTATGGCGTCTTCGTCTCTGACCCGTCGGAGCCTCGAGGCTGGCGTCGTGTAAGCTTTCAACCTGCCCCCAGACTGTTCAAGTCTCTAACGTGTGTAGACTGTTCCCATCACGCGAGTCACGCAGATTGCCGTCCTCGAGGAGTTTTCCGTGTGTCTGATTGTGGCAGACAAGTCGCTCATCTCGTACCCGCTGGAGACCATCGCTCCCTTCTCGGAGTTTGCGCCGCCAGTCAATGACAACCCGCGCCGGGCACCTCAGAGGCTGGCCAAGGACGTGACTTACTTCGCGACAGCCCGGATGAAGGACAGGATGCTGGTGTTTTACAAGCGCAAGGAAGGTCTCCACACCTCTTTCAAGGTCTTGGAACCGATCCTGCATAAGGGCGGGGAGAAGAAGTCCCGACTTTTTGGTGGCCGCAAGACGGCCGCCGGAAGCACCGACACGTTCCGCGACTTTGACGAGTTTTACCTGCCGACCGAGTGCTACTCGCTGAGCCTGTTCCAGACGTACATTGCCGTGTCGACGGCCAAGGGCATCGAGATGCTCACGCTGGACAAGAAGCAGCCCATGTCGATTCCGGACCTCAAGGCGCCGTCCATCGCCAACATTGCGGGCCGGATCCGCGACCAGCACCCGCTGGGCATGTTCAGGCTCAACGAGAACGAGTTCATCCTCACCTACGAGGACTGCGCCGTGTACGTGGACAAGCACGGCGACGTCAGCCGCGCGCTCATCATGGAGTACACGGGCAAGCAGAAGAAAGCGCGCGGCGCCACCATGTACGGGCAGTACCTGATTCTCTTCAACGACGACTACGTCGAGGTGCGCAACGCCGAGAACGGCCGCCTGCGGCAGATCATCGCGGGCCGCGACGTGCGCGTCATCGACTTTGGCATCCGCGGGCCGACGGGCGGCAACGCGGTGCAGTCGCAGCAGCAGTACGGGCAGAACGGGCAGCTCCAGACGGCGGGCGAGACGTCCAAGGGCACGGTCAAGGTCGCCATGTGCCACCCTGAGCTGCCTGGCCGGCAGATTGTGCTGGAGATGCTCCTCAACGACGGGCACGCCGAGTAAGGGCGGCCGACAGAATGTCCGTCACCACGACGGCGACGACGATGGACGACGACGACGACGATGACTATGACACGACAAAGCGATGTTACATACGTACATACCATACATGCACCGACGACGAGAGGGGCTTTGACGATGTGTGTAACGACCTGCACAGACGACGACGGACGGGGAAGGGTGTATCTATCTACACGCGCCACATGCTTTTCACTGCCCGGCCTGCTCGCCCGCGCGGGATATTCAGGGCTCGTCGTCTCTATGGGGAGGAAAACGCGTCTAAATACCTCTTGACATTACTTGCACGACGACGCGCTCCCCCCTCCCGCACGAGCTCTTCTTTTCTTCTATTCGTTGACTTTGGTTCGCGTCCTTGAACGGCATGTACGGCGTTGGGAGCGGCTGCTGCACGCAGCAGCAAGAGAGTGTGAGACGACGGCTTGATGGATCTGGATGCCGGGGATGATGCGCGGGGATTAGGTACTCGGGTTGAAGGTAGCCTGGGTATCGCGCCGGCTTTTGTAGGAAGGGACGGTTGGACAGAGCATTTCTTGTCTCTGACCTGTTGTGATCGTTTCGATGGACGAGCAGGACCGCCCGCCCCATACATACATACGCACCCATACCCACAGGGAAGGGAATGAGTGACTGGGTGGGTGGGTTGGGGTTCCTGAGATCTACCCCGGGGATCGAGAGGGGTTGGCGGGGGAGGGAGGGGAGGGTGGTTTTAAGGTTGTTGGAATAATTACAAGAGCGTCGTGTTTTGGCACACACAAAGACGGATTCCCGCCGCATGTTCCGCCCATTTTTTTGCGAGTACTACTTTGTGACTGACAGCTCGGACTGGTTGGATGCACATGCATGCATGTTGGGGGAAAATAAGTGAATACTTGTACAGAGCCCGCGCAGGAGGACGAGTGCCTCTCCGTGCGGTGTGTCTACAGGGCCCTTGTTTTTCTCGCCTCCTCGTCGTAGAAAAGAGCCGTCTGCCTCGCACTCTCCCATCAGCTAGTCTACCGAAACAACAACGTACCTAAGGACCAGACAAGCACGGGCTTCCGGCTCCGCTCCTGCTGCCCTTCAAATTCCGCACAAGCTCTGGACCCCACGTGGTCTAGGGAGAACCCATCCACCCTCGTGCTCCTCTGCGCGCCGATAGTGCCTATACCGCCGTTACCGCCGCGTACTCGCCGCCTCTTGAGGACGCAAAAAACGTCGTCCTCTTTCCATAATCTCCCATGTCTCCTCTTCTTCTACCCGCAAGGGATGATTTTTTGGCCAAAATGTTAGTGTCGGTGCAAAGGGGGTCTGGGATATTCGTCTAAGACTTGACAACGTCCTTGACGTCCTGCTTGACGTCCTCGACGACGTCGGCGACGGTGTTGTTGCTGTCCTTCTTGGCGGACTCGTGCATGCCGATGCGCGTGAGCTGGACGATGCCGACGAGGCCGAGGAAGAAGTTGACGGCGGCGAGGCTGCGGGAGATGTTAGCACGACTGTTGCTGCTCCCTGCTCCTGCTTCTGGGGTGCGGCTGACGTCTCTGCGCCGGAGACGGGACACAACGGGGAGATGAGGAGGGGAGGTGGGTAGGTACGTACAGGTAGTTCTTGGGCTTGATGATGAGGCACCACCGGGTCCAGATGAGGCCGGTGCAGGTGAGGGCAAAGTTCTGCGTAAACGAGAGCTTCTCTGCGGGACGGGCAAAGTCGGAGATGCCGGCGAGGACGAGCGCCCACTGTTTTTTTGTTCGAACTCGAGTGTCAGCCACAACAGCTTCGGTGCATGGAGGAGCCCAATCTCGTCCACGTATGTATGCCTGTATGTAGGTAGGTAGGTAGAGCACGCACCTTCATGACGGGAGCCCAAAAGTGCACCGTCTTGATGCCAACCTCGCTCTCCCACGCGCGCTTGAACCAGCTCTGCTGCTGCTGCTGCTCGGCGCCGGCGCCGCTGGTGCTCTGCCACCGCTTGCTACCGCTGCTGTTGCCGTTGCGGAAGCGGAACGCCTGTGACTGGAAGAACTGGGGGCGCTGGCGCTGGGCGCCGCGGAGGGCCTGGGCGAGGGCGCTGCCGCCGGGCGCGGCCTGGCGGAGGAACGGCCGCATGACTGTGCTCGAGGGGGCCATCCTGTAGGCGAGACGGGTTGAATTGTCAGCAGTGCGTTTGGATAGGCCACGGAAAGAATGCGATGCGGAAGACGACGAGGATGATGAGTGATGCGATGCGAGTGCGCTCGCGCTGCGCGCGCGAACTCAACAAATTGCGGGTTGTCTCGACCTGGGCCGCCCGCCAGGGTCCGACGACCGCCCTCACGGACCGGTCCGAACGGAGGAGCAGTGAGAGTGGCGAAGGGTAGGAATTGCCGCGCTTACCTGGAAATAATGCAATGTGAAGACGGCGATGTTCTCCAACAGGTCTGCGCAGGCGTAGGTATCGATACCAGGGGATCCGAAGGGGGGTGGAATGGAGAGAGAGGAGAGAGAGACACGCGGAGAGAGGAGGCCGTCGTCGTCAAAAAAGGCGAGGCGATGTCCGGGGGGGGCGGTTTGTTGGATTGGATCCAACACTTCCGATACAGGGCGGCGGGAGAGGGACTGCCAAAAGGCGCTTATCTCCGGGGATCTGCCGCGCGCCCACTGCGAGACCGGACACAGGTACTTGCAGCCTGTCACTCACGGGCGACTTTGGCGGCGCTTTGCAGGCCGTGGCACTCGCTAGCGCAGCGTGTTTCAGTGCACCACAGGCGCTGGAAGATGCCCGTGGTGGTGGCTCTGGGGGCGCTGACGGCACCTGGACGCGCCCGGGGGAAGGGGTTTCCAAGGCTTAAGGCGGTGCCCTGCCCAGCTGGTGCTGGCGCTGCTGTGGCTGACGGGCTGTGCACAATCCGCACCGACAGATATCCCCGCTTTAATTTGTGCAAGCCGCTGCCCCTCATCCAATCACGCGCGTCCCAAACTAACCACCATCCATTGACCACTCAATTGACCAGCTTCCCCGGCCCGGCCATCACCACCACCGCCAACGTCGCCGCCGCCAAAACTGCGAATCCCCCGACCTCTACCGCCCCGGGGCACACCGTACGCACGCACACCCGCGATTGGAACCCGCCCGTCATGTCGAGCAAGTACGCCTTCACCAAGAGCCTCAAGGAGGTGCGCTTCCTGTTCTGCCAGACGTCGGAGCACAGCGCCGCCGTACGGTACGTTTTTTCCTACTGCGCGGGAACACCATCATCGTCACCATCGTCGTCGCCGGTATCACCACCATTACGCCCCGAAGCCGAAGCCGAGCATCTCAGCCTCGCAGTGGACGCGCGCGCGAGATGTGTAGTCCGCCCGAGGGCTGCGCTCGTTGTCAATGGGCGCTGCACCCGTGGCGCGACAGGCATACGAGTGCAACTTGCGAGGAGCGAACACAACGGAAGACGAGGAACGGGGACAAAAAAACGACAAGAGTGGAAAGCTAACCCGCGCGCGCTCTCGCAGGTCATTCCTCCTGCGCGCCTACCCGACCATGAAGAAGAACAACCCCAACACGCCCATCATGATCCGCGAGGCCGCCGGCACCCTGCCCAAGATCTTTGCCCGATACGGTCCGTCGCCTCTCCCTCTTCCGCTTTCTGTCCATCCTCCTGCTCCTCCTGCTCCTCTTCCTCTTTCTCCTCTCCCCAAACGCAAGGCGCAACACCACCACCACCACCACCCGCCAAACCCGAGTCGCACCCTTACCCCATGCTAACACGCGCCATCACAGAGTTCGGCACCGAGAAGCAGCAGTCCCTCGAGGGCCTGAGCGACAAGCAGATCGAGGAGACGGTCACCGGGCTAGTCAAGAACGGCACCGCTGCGTGAAAAAGAAAAAAGGATGAGACCGAAAGTCGAGGTTGAGGGATGGGGGGCGCGCTGAAACGAAGGCAAGGAGGAGGAGGGGGAGGGGGAGGATACGCGTCGGGCGGTCGTGTTGGTGGGCCCCATGACGAACGTGAGCGCTAGACCGAAAGACGAAGACGAGCACGAGCACGAGAAACGACGATGGGCCCCTTCTGGGTGGCATGTCGTCGCTGTATATATGGGATAGACTATGGATGTATCACCACCACCACCAGCCACCAGCCACCACCTCCACGTTTGGCGAACTGCCTGATCGAGTCCGTCTTCCTTATAGTATGTACGTCCAGTGCGCCGGCTAGGGAGTCGGGCGTCCTCATCGTGTGACGACTTGACCGCAAGGGACGTGGAACTTCACACAGGTTGATCACTGCAAATGGGACACACAGATGGACTCAAACAATTTTTTTTGGTTACAGTACTCGTCCAAACTCCAATACTCACGCGAGGGCCAAGGCCACTCCCAAGAGCATCATCGCCATCACACCACTCCATCTCGACCCCCAACATCCTCGAACACTCCCCACCCCTTTTCCTCCCGCTTCGTCACCGGCATAGACTCACACACAGGCCTACTGCCTCTTACTCCCCGCCGCCGTCCTTCCCCTCGGGACCTCCCGCCTCGTCCCTGTCCGGCGAACCCGCCGCGCTGAGCGTGCGGCTCGCTTCGTCCGAGGCATTTTCTTGAGACTGCGCCGTTGGGCTTCGCGAGAGCGACGTCTCCTGACCCGGCCGCGAGGGCCACTCCACGACGGTGAAATCATCCGTGGTCCGGGTCTGAAGCAGCGATCCGGAAGACGGCGTAGCCGCGGACGGGGCTGCAGCGTGCTGCGCCTGGCCGTCTTGCGCCGTGAGCTCGCCGTCACTTTTCTCTCCTGTAGTACCTTCTGTAGTACCGGCTTCCTTCTCTGCCACCTTGGCGGCTCGCATCTGCGGAGATACAAACACCTCGGCGCGCGGATTCAGCAGGATAGCCTTTGAGCCGCTTCCGGGAGAGGAAGAGCTCTGGCGCGGCCGTCCACCTCGCGGGGAGGTGATGTCTTGCTGGACTCCAGCGATGAAGCTCTGCGCCACTATTGGTGTATGTGGTGCAGAAGTCTCTGTGCCGGCATGCTGCTCAGCAGCGCTCTCAGCGACTGAGGGTGCGTCAAAAAGCTGCTGATGAAGACGTTGCCGACGATTCTTGCCCATGCGCAGAGAACCGCCCGCGTCCGCGCGGTAATGTTGCCGACTCTGCTGGGGCTGTGCACGGTCGAGCATGCTGCCGCTGGCCTGTCCTTGGCTGCGGATATCCTGGGCAGGACGAGAGGCCTGCTCGCCTGCGCTTGGGAAGTTGCGTGTACGGATTGGGAGCTCCGTAGGTGGCCCCATCGGTCCTGGTCCAGGGCGCGGCATAGGCTGCACCGCGATGTGTGATGGCACGTCGTAGCCGCCTTGACCTGTGGCCTGAGATGCTTGTCCAGGTGCGCTGCCACCATGTTGCTGATGCGCTTGAGGAGCATCTTGCGGAGACACAAACGCTGAAGAAGCCTGGCTCTTGTTCTTCTTCTTCTTGTTTCTGTTCTTGCGGACGCTGCCCCGACCATCCGCGGCAGTGAGTCCGACATCAACATCACCAGTTCCACTCTGCGACGCGTGGCGAGAATGAGCGGCTTGGTGACCGCCATCAGGTACGCCGCCCTGGTTAGAATGGCTGCTCTGGCGCGAAGATCTGCCAGACACGGGCTGGGACGGAAAGTGTCGCCTGCCTCGCGACTGTTGCCGGAAGTGACCGCGGCCACGAGCTGGTGCCGCTGGTCCTCCAAACAAGGTCGACAACGACATCGGAGCAGGTCTCTGAGCCGCCATGCTGCCGGGATCCGCAGGCCATTGCGCCGAGAGCGAGTCTGGGCGCAGGTCGCTGCTGGACTCTGTAGGCTGAGGTTTTCCCTTCTTCGAGGGACCAGATGAAGACGCATGGTCAAGCAAGCTGGACTTGGCAGCGTCGGCTCTCTTCACCGGAGCTTCTTCCCCTTCTGTTTTGCCCTTCTTGTTAGCAGTGCGCGCCTCGACCCACCGGACAAACTGTAGCTCACTGCCTGTGGTCTGCTGGCTCTCCATGCTGGCCTTGTTCTCCGCGACTTGGGGCTGGCTCGGGCCGCTGGACCCGTCGGTCGGCTTCTTTGCCTTGAGAGGATTCAGCGGCATGGGAATCCTATCCCAGGCCCGCTTCCTGTCTCTGATCTGGTCTTCCGTGAACATACTGGGGGCGCGACGCTGGGTTGCGGCGGCGCTTGGCTCGGTGGCCTCTTTGCCCTCAGGGAGAGCAGATGCAGGATCTTTGGAAGCTCCAACAGTAGTAGGTGGCTGCTCATCTTGACTGCCTTCGGTGGTCTTGTTGGCGTCGTCAATGCTCGTGGCAGTGTCTTTTGCCAGGTCGGCTTGGGGCTCCTTGGACCGCTTCTGCTTCGGGGTTGGCGTTCCCGGAGCAGCGCCACTGGCAGCTCGCTTCTTGTCCTGATGGCCTTGACCGTGCTCAGTCTCCACGGGCACTCCATGTGTCTGTTTCTCATGCTTCTTTGGACCACCCTTGTTTGCCATAGTTGGCGTTGTTGGCTGTACCGGGGATGCTGTCGGCAGCAACACCCGAGCCTTGGTAGGAGACGCGGTGGCTCCAGAGAGCTCAGGAGTTGTCACCGACGCATTGCCCTGACGGCTCAGATCATACAACGCTTCCTCACAAGGCGGCTTCGACTGAGTTTTGGTCGTCTTTGGAGCAGCCTGCTGCTGCTGGACCGAGGTCGGGGCGCAAGGTGCCAGCTGCTCAGCAGCAGGAGGCTCGGCGACCGGACGATGCTCTGTAGCCCTGCTTAGGTGGTGAAGCTGTCCGTCGTAGGCCGAAGTAAGACTGCCAGGAACGGGCGGAGGAATACACGCGAACGGATCGGCCAACAGAGGCGGAGCTGGTAACACAGGGTAAGCAGGGAACGACAAGCAGCCAGGGTGCCCGCAATAGATATTGCAAGTAGGCAGCATCGTACCGAAACCGGGCATCGTGGAGTACGGCGCGTGGGAGGGAGCCATGTTCTGGTACCCAAACGGCATGGGAGGAGGATTGGACATCGGCATCGCCGGCTGAAACGGCGCCTGCATATGCTGGTATCCGGGGCCCTCAATCGTCTGAGGAACTGCCTGAGGCCAGGTCGTGTTGACCCATTTGGACTTCATGGCGGCGCTGATGGCCACAGACATGTTCCAGTTGGAAATCTCGCCGGAGCCAAATGCCAGAGCGTCGGGAACCGACGACTCGTAACGGAACCTGTCAAACACAGAGAAGTTAGCAAGATCTTGTTCATCTCAAGTATGGGCACTTGTACAGTTCACTTACCGCACAATGAAGCCGACGCCGTCCTGGAGCTCGGTCGGAAACACGGCATCAACATCGCCAAACCGCTCTCCCAGGCCATGCTTGATCTTGGCCTGAACTTCCATGACGGGAGTCTCGGGGCTCTCATCGACGCGCACCATGACGCTCCTGTTGTTGACGTTGCACTTAAAGCAGCTGCAGGGCTTGTAGCTGAACTTGCCACCATTGTGGTGCTCGTTGCGGCAGCGGCCTTGGGCGTGGGCCTCATTCTGCGGACCGGACTGCAGTTGAGACTGCACGCGGCCCTCAAAGCCGCTGTACTCATAAGTCTGTCCACCATGTTGCGGCATGTGACCTGAGAATGCACCTCGGTGGCCCGAGTTGCCACCGCGATATCGTCCCCTGCCGCGACCGCCGCTCCAAGTGCCTCCACCTCGAGGCGGGGAAACAAACTGCGCTGACTGGTTCATGGACGAGTTTCTCGAGTGGCTTTGGCCCCATCTGTTGTTTCCTAAGTTGGAGGTTCCTCGGCCTACTCGTTGAAACTCGGGAGCCGTGTAGTTGCGCTGTGGTGCTCCCACATATTCGCCGTGCGCGGACGGCTGAGAGGCGTGGAGCCTGGCCGCGATGGCTCTAGGTCCGACATTGATTGCTGGAACCGGGTTCTGTAGTTCCGGGCTATTAGCACCATAACGAGAGTCGGCGCGGTCTTCCGAGTTCTCAAAGGAGTAAAAGGAGTCATCCGCGCTCGAAGGGGTACGGACCATGTTCCTGGCAGAAGCGTGCCTCGACGAGTCTGGCGACTGTTCTGCACCGACCATTCCAGCCCCATGTCGGTACGTCTGATATGCAAGGTGAGAATGTCGTCGCTGGCCGCTCATCCGGGGAAACGGAGGTTGGGTCGGCCATGCATGTCCCCGCTGAGGGCCACTCACCATTGCTTGGCCACTCTGCTGAGGCATTGCCTCAAAACCTGTAGCACCGCACATGTTCCCAGCCACGCCTTGCAGGTGAGCTTGCTGCGGCTGATATGCTCCAGAATGCTAGTCCGGCTGCATCTCTGCGACAGGCACCACATATGACTGAGGCTGGGCGATGGTGGCAATGTCAGTCTTTTGATCTTGAGGGATGGCCGTAGCCGTCGGTGTCTTGTCGACTACCTCCGCTTTGGCCGCGGCTTTCTCAACTCCACTTGCCATATCGTGCACTGCTTGTGCCTGCTGAGGCACCGTTTCCTCGGGCTTGTGCTCCTCGTCGCGAGAGGCAAGACTTTCCTGCTTCTTGTCCGTTGACCAGAGACTAGCATCTTTGAGATTCGGCGAGCTCGCAGTCGCTCTTGGAACTTTGGCCACGGGAGCAATGTTGTTATCTCCAGCAAGGACAGTACTGGATGGCTGGGTCTCGGTTGCAGCCCGGCGAGCTTGCGAAGCTGCCTGAGTTGCAGCATTCCTCTCATCGGCGGCCTGAGCTTCGAATCTTGCTGCCGTTTCTGCAACTCGTTTGTCCCAATCGGGTGGGAGCTTGCTACTTCCCATGGCGATGACCACACCACTTTCTGTCACGACTCCGGTAGGACGCATCTTCTCTGCCTTCTTGGGGACGTCCACTTCGGAGGACTCGCGAAGCGCCTCGACGGCACTCATCTTGGGCGACTCCGCAGCCGGGGCATTCTGGCCCAGGGGATGGTAGTAATGATTGCCGTCTTGGACGAAGCAGGGCACTGTTGGGTTCATGGTCGACTGGTAAGCCTCTGCAGAGGGAGGAGAGGGCAGACCATTTGTTCCCAGGACCTGCGAGCCAGCTGTGCAGTCGTTAGCAACATACTCCTCATATGCGGTGTTGAACAACTTACCCAGCCAATTGACAACGGTGCCACTGTCCGCAGCGCTCACCAAATCCCGAGGCGGTACATTATACTGCTTGAGGCCACCCTCAAGGAGCAAGTCGCGACGATAGTGCAGCGCAGAGTTCAAGAGGCTCAGTTCGTCATCCTTGAGGTCACCAATCTCCTCCCAATCCTCAGGGCCGAGGACACAAATGATGCCGCCTTTGAGACTGTTCCACTGGGCAATCTTGGTGCGGTTCGCCTCCTCCTTGAGCCACTGGTCGCAAAAGTGACCAATCTCCAGCATTGCCTCCGCATTGAACTGGTTTGCAATGAGCTTGTTCTCGTCGTACAAGGTGTTGATGACGTTCCAGAGATTGAGAGCGCCATAGTGGTAGAGATCGTGGGCGTCAAAGAACTCCCAGAGGTCGTCCCACCGGTAGGGGCGCGCCATGCGCTTCATGTCCGCCCAAAAGATGAGGCGGACAGAGTTGCAGACGGACTGGATCTCGTCGCGGTTCCATAGATGGACGCGGCGCTCCGGAAGGAGGTCGCCCAACTTGCGAAAGGCGTACTGGCCGTACAGGGTCGAGAACTTGCCTTGGGCCGTGGGAGGCGGGTGCGTGTAGAAGCGCACAGGCAGGTGATTTTCGATGTACTGGTGCGGCACGCCGCCCGAGTCGTATCCGTGAACCATGTTGTACGTCACGGGAAGTCCGTTCGGGTAGAACGCGGCGAACGCTGCCTGAGTTCCAAGAGGCTGGCTGGAAGCGTAGTTCTTTGGGACGCCGGCGGCGTCGAGCACCACGTGAGGAGCCTCCAAGGACATGTACGAGCCGGTGGTTCTAAAGGCGGAGCCACCTCCGCTATTCGCAGGGTGATCGGCCATCGTGAATTCAATAGACTCGAAGTCAGACTCGTCAAGATGGGCGTGTCGTCGGTCTGACAGTTGTTAGCGTTGATAGCTGTGTCGACGGGGAGGGTACAAACCGTGTCCTGAAGCTCGAGATAGCTAATGATCTCGAATATTTGAGGACAATAATAATCGTCACTCTTGGCAGGTCTCTACTGAAACAGTAGACTGATATCGAGAGTTCCGTGTACACTCGTAGACGCAAGTGTTTTGGTACAATATCAGGGCGATGTGGCGATGTGCTGCCTCCTGATTTTGGGCAACAAGCTCGCAGCGCCGAGGAACGCGTTCTTTTTTTTTGGATTTTTTGTTTTGTGATTTTTTTGGGTGTTTTTGTTGCTTCGATGCAAACTCTGATGTTTCTTTGCGTAGGTCGAACTGAGCTGCTGCTGAACTGCCAAGACCTGAGCTGTGAAGAGCACTGGCCGTGACTGGGAAGCAGAAGAGGTCGACCTGGCGATGGTCTGCGAAAGACGACTGCAAGGAAACAGAAAAGAAACGAGCTCGAAACAGAAATGACGCCCAGGTCTTCTTGCGAAATGCCTGCAGGCGTTTGTAGAAAGGAAATGCGGGAGGAGAGCCTGCAAGGAGCCGTCTATCACGCCAAACGCGTCGCTCCTGTCTCGCGACCAGCTTCACAACAGATGTTATGAAGACCGATCCCAGTCCAGGAAAGCACGCGCCGGCCTGCTTCAGGTTCGATGCAGGAGAGCGATGAGAGACTAGGCAGTGTTTTGGCACGATGACGAGGGTTGTGAGGTTGTGGGAGCGCGGAAGTTTGGAAACAGAGGGTGAGGGTAGCGGGAATGAAGGTGTGTGCGAGGAGAAAAGAGAGGGAGGGAACAGAGGCTCGAACAGAGAGAGATGAGGGCGCGCTTCTGAACAGGGGCCGGCCGCCAGCTGTTCAGTCGGGGCCGCACACGCGTGGCAAGGCAGGGCGCGGCGACCGTTTGTTCAAGCGAGCCTCAGGCTGCCGGGCAACGCAGCTGCGCATCGTGTCGTGTTCATGCGGCCTGCGCTCTGATGCACGGCGGCCGTCACGGTGGCAACGCCCAGCCGCGCCAGTCGAGCGTTCAGTTCGATTCCTGCAGACTGAAGAAAGCTGTGGTTTTAGTACACCCCTGAAAGCGTCACCACGACCTTCGATTTCTTGTCGACGGCCGTTGGACCTGTAAATCAATGCCCTAAGGAGCCACAACAGCCAGATTTTATCGTGCCTGCAGTTGCACAAGCGATAAGCTGGTCAAGTCGGCCGGAACTGTTGGTCCATGTCACTTGCAAATTGGCTGGCCACGTTACGGCCGTATGACAGGGTGTGTTGTCACAGAGAAAGGCGTGAGAAGATGTAGCAATTGAGAGTCATGTCATATCCAAAATTATCGCCGCCACATATTTTGAGAGAGCGCGCAAAGCAGAGAGATGGGTATATGTACAGGTGGGATTTTACACCATCGAGGTCGGCATGCAGACTATCGCTTTGACGCATTGACGAGCTTGAGAATCTCCGAGTCGTTGGCGCCGGCAATGGCCTTGCCGTTGTTCCAGTCCACCGTCTGTAGCAGCGCGTTAGCCACCAGTCCGGCAGAGATGGACATGAGTGCTGGCGCATGGGCCGAACCACACTTACCACGGGCCGCACAAAGTTCTCCTTGCTCTCCTTGAACTTGCGGAGCGCATCCTTTTGGTCGTGGGCGCCCTTGATGATCTGCGAGATGTTGTCCTTGCCGACGTACTCGAGGATGGTCTGGACCTGCTCGGCGGTGGGCGGCTCCTCGGTGATGTTGAGCTCGAAGGGGTCGCGCTTCGGCAGGGTGTAGTCGCTGGCCTGGTCCATGGTCGCGCCGGTCTGCAGGTTGACCGAGATCTCCTTGAGCAGGTTGGCGACCCGGGTCGAGGCCGGGGATCCCGCCTTGTGGAAGACGGTGATGATGTCGAGCGTCTTGCGCTGCGTGGGGTGTCAGCATCTCGCGCTGGCTCGGTGCTCGCCGGGGTGGCGTGGCATTGGGGCTTGGGTACTCACGAATCCAAACATGTTGGCGGTAATTGGGGTGTCTTGCGTGGGAGACGATGCGTTGACGTTGAAGCTGAATGATGGTGGACGGATGAGGTTCCCGTCGGCTTGCTCCAATCGGAACCAGGCTTTGGTCAAGCTCCACCGAGCTCGCCGAGCTGAGCTGGAGCCGCAGGCAGGCAGTGACGTCGTGCCTCCCAAGGTCGTTTGGTGGACGGTCGGGCCTGCCGCTTGCGTCTGGGTGGTCCGTGCGCTCACTCCACGCCCCGATCGACAGGGCAGCTTCTCGAATCTCCAGCATCCACGCATGCCAGCTTCATGCCCGCTTCTTCCTTGCATGTTGCAGGACAATCTTACATTTTATCAGATGCACCATGTCCAGTCGTAGCCTATCGCAATGCCTCACTGTTGAGCAACTCCCCACACGTCATGGCTGGGTGCCTTCTTGGCACGCCCATAGCTTCGAGCCCTCCACCGCATGATAGCGAACCCCCAATTCGATGTTGTCTGGTGGACAATAATGTCAATTCTGGTTCTAAAGTGCCGCTGATGGATGCGTTTATGATGCAGTCTACAGAAAACCCCCGCCCATGCATGCATTTGTGATACAGTCTATAGCCATGCCAACAAACTCCCAGACGCCTGCGGGTCGCCGCACGATGGCGGCCCCGAAACCAGAAACCCTCGCCTCCTCCCGCGCTGTTCTCCGCGCTCACGTCCTCTTGCGAAACTTGTCGCGAATCTCGTCGTCGCTGAACTTTCGTGTCAGCGTCTTGAGCAGCGCGACCCTGCCTTCCATGGTGAGGTCGATCTGCGCGCCCATGGGCACCATGCAGCGCGCGAGGTGCTCGTAGTCCTTCATCATCAGCCGCGCCGTGATCATGAGGAAGTCGATGTTGTGGAACACGAGCGCGCCCTCTTTCGCGTACGTCGGCTTCTGCTCCAGGAAGGAGATGGGGTGGTCGCGCCAGTGCCGCAGCGGATTGAGGTGATGGGAGGTGTGGTACCCGTCGTTGAAGCAGAACCGGTTGCTCTGTCCACCATGGTCAGCATTGTCTCTACTTAAATGTTTCGTAAGTTCGCTGGTCCGACTTACCGCCACATCAATGAGCGTGATGCTGGACCGAAAGTCCGAGTCCGGCTCATCTGCGTCCACAAACGCGTGCTGCCCCCAGTTGCCAACCATGAGGCCCAGCCGTAGGATCAAGAACGGCAGCAGGTACACAAACAGCGTCGCCTTGCCGCCGAAGCGCGTCGCCATGGTGTAGTAGAACAGGTAGGTGAGAAACTCCCAGCCCGCCGCGCGCACCGCCATGCCGGGCCTGTTCTTGCGCAAAAAGTACAGCGGCAGGTCGGCCCAGACGAGGAAGAAGAAGCGCCCCACGTAGCGGGCAAAGTCGGCGAGGCTGTCGCGCTGGTAGCGGATCGTCGAGGACAGGTCGTCCGGCCCGTTGCCCTCGACGTGGTGGTGCTTGACGTGGTGATAGTAGTATGTGTTCCAGCTGTGGCCCATCAGCGGGTCGAGCAAGTACGGGAACAGCTTGTCGAAGAGGCCGTATGGCTTGGCCAGGATGCCCCGCTGGTGGATGTGCTGGTGCATCATGAGCGTGTAGGTGCCGAGGTAGTAGAACTGCATGGCGACGTGGAGGATGCCGTGGATGTAGGAGAAGCGGTTGTAGAGGAGGACGGCGCTCGGCACCGAAGTCGTAAAGTAGATGATGAGGTGCGTGATCATGGCAACGTCCGTCTCGTGCCGGGTTATCCTCCGGGCCCAGGAAATGTACGGCTGCAGGACGTATTTGTTGAGCGCCGGCGAGACGTATGAGGCGCAATCGTCAACGGTGAGCAGCACTGTTGGCTCGAACTTGTCGCTTGCCGGGTCCCGCATGGCCTTGAGCCGGGCAACGTCCTTGGCCGTGTCATCGGCGGAGCTCTCCTCACAGAGCTTGTCGACAGCTTCATCCTCGTGATGAGAGCTCTCCTCGGAGCCGATGCCCGAGTCGTGGTCCACAGCATCGTCGTTCGGGACGGTGAGCAGCTGCTGCTGTGCGGCGTCGGCAGCGGCAATGTCGTGGGCAAGGTTCTTCAGCACCACATGGTCGGCGCGGGTCAGGCCGCTGTCAAAGACCAGGTGCTGCTCCATGGCTGGCTGGCTGCCGTTGTTCTAGCAGCGCAGCGCAACAAAAGCAAAAGGGCCACCGGGAAACAATGGATTCATGGCACACGGCGCTGCTTTTCTTACAGGAACTCGCCTGTGTAAAATGTACTCCGTCCACGCAGGTCCCTGTCCGGCACATCCGCCGCCCACACGCTCCTTTTAAGAGAAGCATCCCCCTCCTCCCATCGTCCGTCTTTTTTTCATTTTTGGTAAGCTCGCTCGAGCGGGCTGGGTCAGGTCGCCGGGGGTCAATGGGTCGGTCGGCGGGCCGGCAATAGCCCTGGAATGCTTCCGTCCGCATCCAGAGCTGGCCGTCGCATTTGCCCCACTACCCACAGTTAAAGAGATGAGAAGTGATTTCGCTATCGTCCTCGAATCCCCATTGACCCTTTTCCCTTTCACTCTGGTCCTCGACTCCTTGGTCCGTCGCCGACCGCTAGCGGGGGAGCGGGCTCCAAGATTAGCATCTTCTCATTAGCCGTGTCGCTCTTGTCCCCCTTGGAGCTGCCGGGGGCACACTGGACGACCATCGAGAACCGGGCCTCGTGGACCCTGTGCGACACAGCCCTGGTTTCCGTGAGCTTCAAGTTTAGTACGCAGTTACTATTAGTGACCCTTGGACCCTCAGTGGCGGCGGCACCTGCGCTGCAGACCCCTGCTGTGCAGCTCCAAGGGCTCACTAATATTCTCCAAGCCGGCAAGCGGGCCGCCTCGTGCCGTGCAGGATAGGGGACACAGCCCATGCGCTTGCTCGTACGAGTAAACATGAGGCTAAGGGCCCAAATTCCACGAAGATTCTAAATAACAATGCTTGGGGAAACGACGCGGCAACGGCGGAAGGATCGAAGCCACAGGGCTCGTAGCTGCGTCAGCTTGTGAAACGCGCTGCGGCCGTCGTCCAAGGCGTCACCTGTCAGTTCGCCAAACGTCCCTGCGAACCGCTGCCAAGCCACTGCTTGTGTATCACTCCGTGACGCGTTCTGTCGCTAGTCATGCGCGGGATGCGCTGGAATCCGAAGCTAGTGAATGCAACGCAATCCCATGACTGAGCTGCGCCGTGTATGCTGGGAGCAGCTGCGGCAGCGGAGCGAAGAAAGCGACCAGAAAGCGACGAGGAAAACGACGCTGGAGCAAATAGCAGACAAGCTGGGTCAGGAACCACCGGACCTCATCCCGGCATCCATGCAGCTGAACGACACGAGTGACAACCAAACAAGATGTCAAGCTGCAGGGAAATGCCAGTCGCACTTCTGATACTTCACGTTTCCCGACTCATGTCTTTTGTCGTGCTAGCTCATCAAGCTGAGTTGCGATGTTGCGACACAACCAGTTTAGGGTAGGCGGGTCGGACAGGCCCGCAACATCAAGCAACAACACGACACAGAGAAACATCAAGATAGGCCCGACAACGCATCCGTGACATGCTTGTTGTTGGTGTCTAGGCGGCGACCGCTGAATAATAATTACAACTGCAAATATACCTGCCATGCCAAGTTGCCAAGGTCGCGTGGTGCGATCATCAAGTCGGATGTTTCAATGTTGCTGCACAAACGGTTTGTTCCACTCCAGCCACTGCGCATCTCGATGACGGATGAGCCCGATGTGCCAGTCTGCAAGCCACTGATTGCCCGATGTGCAGGTCCATAAAAAATTGAGCCGCCTGCCAAAGCGCTGCAATAGCCAGATGACGTATCCTCCGTGCGTGCTGCTGGAATTGAAGCCGCTGGGCGCTTTTCGAGATGGGTCTTTGCCAAATCATGACGTAGGTTATGAAGTCAGGCTGTGGAGCAGATGCTCCGACGCAACACAATCGCCGCGTAGAGTACAAAAGAACCGTTATGAGCACTTCCATCAAACCGTCAAGATATTTCCACTGCAAATTTCTCAGAGAACGACACTGTCACTGTACTACCAACTCCCCAACCAAACCGATTCATCATGTCTGGAAACTCCAAAGTTGGCACCTCGGCCGTGTACGAGGCTGGCGATCAGCGCAACGTGAAGCGCTCCGAGCAAGACACCAGCGTGCCGTACGAGGAGGGCAAGGTCAACTCGCACAAGCTCACCGATCCCAGCAAGTGGCTGCCAACTCCATTAACACGTCAATTGCCAGTGCTAACCAGCGTGCAGAGGACGAGCGGTCCATTGCCAACCGTCTGGCCGCCGAGGAGGTATGACGACGCAGGCTTCGGCCACCAAACGTGCGACTGGTGGCGGCGAGCTAACTCTATGCAGCGCCAGGGAAAGACTCCCGATGACAAGGAGACTGCCCGGCTCAAGAAGGACCCCACGCTGCCGGTGAGTGCTTCTATCCAGGACGCAACAAGGGTTCACGCACTGACAGATTGCAGGCCAAGATGCACGGCAACGAGCCTTCCAAGGGCGCCAAGATTGACGCCCAGCTGCAAGCAGAGGACGAGCAGAGGCTGCGGGAGAAGCAGGGGAAATAAATATATTACTATCGATGTATACTGGCATGGGCGTTAGGTCTGCGCCACGAGCGCAATCAATTCTCAGCGTTTTCCACTTGAACATATTGTGCTTCCGCCGTGACGTGATGTGTGAACAGAAGCACGAGATGCTACTACAGCAGGTGTCTGGTGCGTGTGCTAACAGAGCACGACAGATGGACCGGGTTTGCCACGAAAACTCTTGCAATCCTCAACGACACATCGGAGCACAGTTCAGTCTGCTTCGGCAATGTTAGCCAATTGCCCACCATCCAGTAGATGATCAAAAGTGATGGATGAAATAGTGCAAGGTTCAGAATATGTAAGAAATTGAATATCACCTATCCTGCCGATAAAGCCACTCTGGCGAAGAGAGCCATCGGCAGGAATCAATCGCAAATTACCTCATCATAAAGGTGCAAGGTGTAGGAAGTGAAAGAGGGACGCGAGTACAAGCTTACCTTGGGGTCAGTTACGGCTTCCAGCAGCCATTGCGTCTTCCGCAACACAACGCAGGCAATGGGCTGAGAAGCTGGTACGAAGCAGTGTTTGAAGCTCTCCAGAAGTTTGCAGAGAAATTCTTGGTAGAAAAGTCAAGCGCTGGTTGGTCCGTGCGTCGGGCGCCGGCGCGTGGGGGCCGGAGGTGGCGGAACCAAAAGTCCGAAAATTTTGCTTAGGGCACAGGTTTGAATTTCGCCCGCACACCCTAATAGCCGAGCGACAAAAAGTCATTGGCGACTCCACGGTGACAACACCTCAAGAAACCAACCACCTCCGAACGACCAAACGTCTTCGACTATTGGTATGAGAACATCCTCTCGACGCGACCGCACAACTCCCGAGACGACCCGCGACTGACATAGAATCCGCGACAGACAACCGTCACGATGGGCGAAGCAGTGATTGAGGGATCCAACTGGCGCCTCGTTGAGGTCGGCCGCGTCGTTCTCATCAACGGCGACCACCCCTTCGCCGGCGGCCTGGCCACCATCGTCGAGATCATCGACCACAAGCGCGTACGTTTCCGACGCCCCTCCCCTCGCGAGCCGGGATGAATCCGCGGACCGCAGAAGTTGACATGACAATCGCAGGTCCTCATCGACGGCCCCTCCTCCGTCCCCGCGCTCGCCGTTCCCCGGCAAGCCATCGCCCTGTCCAAGTGCCTGCTGTCCCAGTTCGTCATCGAGGGTCTCCTCCGCGGCTCCCGACACGGTACCGTCAAGAAGCAGTGGGAGAAGGCTCAGATCGACGCCAAGTGGAAGGAGAGCAACTGGGCCAAGAAGCGCGAGCAGGCCCAGAGGCGGAAGGCCCTGACGGATTTCGAGCGCTTCCAGGTCATGCGCCTCAAGAAGCAGGCGCGATTCGAGGAGCGCAAGGCTCTGGCCAAGATCAAGGCCTCGGCATAATTGGGTTGATCAGCAATCGGAGTCGGGAGGGATGGATTCGAGGGGTGGCTGGCATTAGAACGAGCGGCATGGAACCGGACAGGAAAACACGCGGCGGCGGCAAAGACCGCTGCATTCCTATTTTGCACCCGTTCTGGAAGGGCTGTATGTCACATTTCATCGCACGATGAACCGGCGTCAATACGGAAATTCAGAAATCAAGACGAATTCAACGCAACACGCGGGCCGCGTCGAACTGTGAAATGTATCGAGTAAAGCTGAATGAACATGTGAATCCGCATCGATCCCTGTCATGCCCGACTTCCGTTGACGTCGTGCTGCCTCTCTCTGCGTCTCCGATGCCCATTGCTCCGCGCCGTCTTCTCTGGGGGTGGTTGATTACCTAATACGGCTTAGCCAGCGCCGTCCACCAAACCCTAGAATTTCGCCGTTGCTGTTCCGCAGCACAAACAGCGTGACGACCCTCACTACCGCAGCTCAGAACCAAGTAAACCGGGCTCAACAAATCAGTAAGTGCCCAATTGCTGCCGCAGACCGCTGCGGGACTCGACGACGCATCGCAGGCGAGAGCGCTCCGCGGTCGAATTTTTCACGGCCGAAATTGTGGTGGGACACTGAAGCTAACCGCGGCAACCCCCTCCATCGCAGCATTCAAAATGGCCAACCCCAGAGTCGAGGAGCTCCCGGACGACGAGACCCAGCGTCCTACCGTCGAGGAGCAGGAGGACAGCAGCGATGAGTCCGATGCTGAGGAGGGCAACCTGCCCGCCGGCTCGACCGCCGTCGTCCACTCCCGCAACGAGAAGAAGGCTCGCAAGGCCATCGAGAAGCTGCACCTCACCCGCGTGCCCGGCATCACCCGCGTGACCCTCCGCCGCCCCAAGAACGTACGTGCCGACTCGAGAAAAAGAAATCCGGAAGCTTGTTTCGGGGGCCAATGGAGCTGATGGCTGATGGGCATGAAACAGATCCTCTTCGTCATCAACAACCCCGAGGTCTACAAGTCTCCCAACAGCAACACCTACATGTTCGTCGCCTCCTTTCTGGACGACCCTTACCCCGCGGGTAGAAGCTGACAACCGTGCCACAGTGTCTTCGGTGAGGCCAAGATCGAGGACGTCAACGCCACTGCCCAGCAGGCTGCCGCCCAGCAGCTCGCCGCCGCCGGTGCCGAGGGCGACCACGCCGGCCACAACCACGGCGAGTCCAGCAAGGCCGTCGAGGGCGCCGAGGCCAAGAAGGAGGAGGAGGAGGATGACGGCGAGGAGGTGGATGCCGAGGGCCTCGAGGACAAGGACATTGAGCTGGTCATGACCCAGGCTAACGTCAGCCGCAAAAAGGCCATCAAGGCGCTGAAGGAGAACGACAATGATATTGTCAACTCCATCATGGCTTTGAGTATTTAAGCACTGCGCGGCGCCGCGGCTGGAACGTTGTGTTCAAAGGGGGCTCGTGCGTCGAGTGCATGGGCAGCTTTGTATTTTTCGACAAGAGCCGCACCGGCCTTGCAGAAACCATCTTCCTGATGCAAATAAAGGGATAAATGGCGTTTATCCGTTGGTCCAGTGACTTGTATGCTCGCGCGGGGTGGCATGAAGGTCATGGTTCGGCATGGGATGTTGCTGAGCGGCCTATACACAACAACCCTACTGCTCCTATTTGTAACTGAAGTTGCGATGCTGCAGAGTGCTTCCAGAACTTTGCAGGGAACATTTTGAGTAAACTTTAGCTGTTTAACAAAGCTGCAATCCCCCGCGGGCGACAGACGTAGCTGGTCCGATGCTGGGCGCGCACGGCGCTTGGCGATCACGACTCTCGTCACGTGACTACGGTGGAGGGCGCTCCCCAGTCGGGCAAGTTCGGCAAAGTCAATCAACGCTCATCAACGACATTCTCTCCTCTCCACGAGACCCCCAGACATCATCAAAATGGCCACGGTAAGCGACACCCTGCCAATTGGCGCGGCCGAGACGAGAGAATCGCCCCTCAATGCACCCCCGACGCTCCGTCGCGCGGCACCGCTCCCCTGCGCCGCCGTCCCGAGACTCGTGAGCTAATTTTCTCTCCCTCCCCCCGGAACAGCGAAGCGCCGCCCTCAAGCTCGACTGGACCAAGGTCACCAGCTCGCTGGGCCTTCGCGGCCAGACGGTCGCCTCCCTGCAGGCCTTCAAGAAGCGCAACGAGGACGCCCGCCGCAAGATCGCCCAGCTGCAGGAGCAGGCCACGACGGTCGACTTCGCGCACTACCGCTCGACGCTCAAGAACCAGGCCGTCGTCGAGGAGATCGAGAAGCGCTTCAAGGCCTTCAAGCCCGTCACCTACGATGTCAGCCGCCAGCTCAAGGCCATCGAGGCCTTCGAGGTCGAGGCCGTCAAGAACGCCGAGGCCACCAAGCAGGCCGTCGACCTGGAGCTCAAGGACCTGGCCGCCACGCTGAAGAACATTGAGGAGGCCCGTCCGTTCGAGGACCTCACTGTGGTATGTTGCGCAGGATGTGGCGACGTGGAGGAGCGAGACGCTGACGCGCAGTTGTGCAGGACGAGGTTGCCGCCGCCGAGAAGTCGATCGACGAGAAGACCACCCAGCTCATCTCCAAGGGCCGCTGGATGGTGCCGGGATACAAGGTTCGTGGATCTTTTGTTCGTGGAGCCCGGCTGAGCAGTACTGACACACTCTACAGGAGAAGTTTGGCGACCTGGCCATTGTGTAATCGACCCAAGCGTCATCTTACCGGATTTCCCTTTGTGTACTCTAGCATTGTAGATACAAGAACTCGAGGCGGCAGACGTCAGTCTCTGCTATACCCAATTCACCGAATCTTTCCTTTCTTGTGTGAAGAGAGATTGCCATTCGGCTCGCGTGTTGGTGCTGGTGAATGTGTACAGACTAGTACGATTGGACGCGCATGCCGTGGAAAGTTGACTTGGAGACAACGACGTTGGAGGCGCAGTCACGGCCGCTGGTTTTCGTATTGGAAGTGGATGGGATGTAGACAACATCTTCAGTAGCACATGACGCGTTACCATCTGGTCAGTCTAGAGTGTGATCGATACGCGCGCAGGGCGGCCCAAGCTACCCTCTGCTGCTCTCTACGCTACGATTGTCTAAGCATAACAAGACTAGCGGAGCAGAATACAAGAAAACAAATAGGGCCGTCAAACTCCTCCAGCAATGCTCATGCCTCGTCGCCTCGATGCCGTCGTATAGCCGTCTGTCGCCGCGCCTCGCTCGGGGCAGGCATTCTATGGCTGCGCGTACTGCTTGGTCCACTCCTTGGCCGTGGCGATGGCCGCCTGCTCATCCTCTTTCCAGCTCTTGGCGACGTCGGCGGCGAGGGGGTCGTCGGGGTTGGGGGCGCCGAGCAGGGCCTGGATGGAGAGGAGGATGGTCCGGATTTGCAGCGCGGGGGACCAGTTGTCTGTAGGCGACTATGTCAGTACGCGTGCCCCGTATTTGTCCGGGAAACGGAGCGGCGAGACGCACTCTTCAGGACGTCGAGGCAGATGCGGCCCAGCTTGTCCACGTTGGGGTGGAAGATCTTTGTCAGGAAGCGGATCTTGGGCGGCGTCATGGGATAGTCGTCGGGGAGGAAGAGCTCGAGCTTGAAGATGCCGCCTGCGCTGCGTCAGTGACTACTCTGCAGTCCGGGAGGTATACGCCGTGGCGAGGAGGCCAACCTTCGTACGGCGACTGGGCGGGTCCATGGATCTCGACGTCAAAGTAGCGGAGGTTATCTTCGTGAGGGACGGCGCTGATCCCAGGGACACTGCCGGCGCGAAGCAAAACTCGTCAGTCGCACGACCTGGTGCCGCGGCCTGCGCACCACCAAAGAGGCGGACCAGGCTGGAGGAAAGGAGCAAGATGCATACGGCTCGGCCATGAGGCGCTCCGTCTCCTTCACGATGCGCTTCGGGAGAGCCATTTTGGCCTGTGATGGTGGAACGTTGTTGGAGCGCAGCCAGGTCGGTCTCGACGGAGGGGGGGTAGAGCGGTTCGGGGATCCTGCTCGGGCGACAGGCGCTGCGAAGGGCGGGTGCTCGGGGCCGGAAGTGGAGAGGCGGGAGGGAGGCCACGGCAGTCGAGGGGTGATGCGGACGGGGGTGAAGTTTGCTGCGACGACGAGGGTTCAAAAGTGATGACTCTGGGCCGTGGTGGAGGGCGATGCGGCGCGACCGAAGGTGGGGTTGACCCTTGCGGCCGGGCCTGTGGGTGCAGGCGCGCGACCTGGTACGGACGGGTGGTGCCAGCGCGGGGCTGATGAGGCCCATGGGCCCTGTGACACAGCGCGGTACAGGGCCACCTGGCAGTGGAACTAGCAAGGTGCAGCGACAGCTCTCGAGGTGCGCTGGCACGCAGTGAGCTCAGGTGCCCTGACGAGGTGCCATTGTTCCGAGTCTGGGGCGCTGCGACGGCAGGGAACAAGGTCCATCCATGAAGCAGAAGCAAAACACATGGCATGGCCGCGAGACCCTACGCACAGATATAACGTAACTACCTACTTTGGCAAAAAATCCATCGCAGACCGATGAAGCACGTCCAGGTGCCATCTATATCGGGGGCCATTCCCACGGGAAGCTAAAATGCCCATGGCGTGCTGCAGCAGGGGACAGCCACACCAGCGGCGACCACTGCGAGGTATCGCCAGCGCCTGGATTCGCGGCGGTGGTACTTCAAAAGAGTCCGCCTGATCACGCTGGTGCAGCGCCCATCAATCCGGGCGCGGACTGGCCTGGCGCCGCATCAAGCTCCAGCTGCTCGTCACGCCCGCACCTCCAACGACCATCCTCACCACCGCAGCACCTGCAGCCACCTGCGAGCCCGCGACGCCTATCCCGCACACCCGCCGGCGACCCGATGGCACAGCGACGACACGCGGCGCGTTAGCTTCCCGGCCAAGGCATCGATGCTGCTGACGCCCGCGGGCTGCCGTTGAGAGCTCGCCGCAGGCCGCGCCCGGCTCACTCACGAGCAAAGGCAGCGCATGAGCAGGCCGACATGAGAGCCGTCGCGAGCGTCGCGACACACAGCCGCCCATGATGCCGTCTTTTGACCAGCTCACCGACGCGTCCCCCAAGAAAGGCAAGATCATCAAGTCGGCCTACGACAGCGAGAGCTTCGACTCCGATGGCACTATCCACGTCGAGGGCCTTGTCGGCTCCGCCACCATCTCGCCGTCAGGTCGAGATATCGCCCTAGCCTCGTGCGTGACCTGATCGCTGGCTCTGCTGATGAGTGCTGACCGCAAGACAGACCAGAGGGCTTGGCCATCATCGACCTGGACTCTCCGTACAACCCGCCGCGACGCCTCCGCAGTCATGGCATGCCGTGGCTGGTCTGCGACGTGCAGTGGTCGCCCTTTGCGATGCGCGACTACTGGGTCGTCTCCACGGCCAACCACCGTGCGCTCGTCTGGAACCTCAATCTGAGGGAGGACTCCAACTCGGGCGCCATTGAGCACTCCTTGCAGGGCCACAGTAGGGCCATCACCGACGTCAACTTCTCCGCTCACCACCCGGACCTGCTGGCGACGTGCTCCGTCGATGGCTATGTCCACTGGTGGGATCTGCGCCGCCCCAGGCAGCCTGTTCTCACCTTTTGTGACTGGTTCGCCGGCGCGACGCAGGTCAAGTTCAACCGCCAGGATCCACATATCCTGGCATCTGCCCACGACCGCTGGCTCCATGTCTGGGACGAGCGACGGGCCTGCGAACCCCTCAAGTCCATCAGCGCACACACGTCCAAGATTTACGGCATAGACTGGAATCGCACGCGTCCCACGGGCATCGTCACCTGCTCGCTCGACAAGAGCATCAGGTTCTGGGACTATGGCAAGGACGACGACATGCTGGAGCACGTCATCCACACCGACTTTCCCGTGTGGCGAGCTCGCCACACGCCGTTTGGCTGGGGCCTCTTGGCTATGCCACAGAACGAGCCCGGTGACCTATACCTCTATGACCGGCTGTGGAGTGAAGACTCGCCCATTGAGGCCTCGCCAAAACCTGTTGCCGTCTTCCCCGGCCATGGCGACCACAAGGCAAAAGAGTTCTTGTGGAGAACTCGCGGAGGTATATCCGATGACAATATTGACCACCGTGAATTCCAGCTGGTGTCATGGGGCACGGACAACGAGCTCAGGCTTCACTGCGTTGATCACAACGTGCTGTCCTCGGTCGGTCATGCCAAGGATGGCCCGGCGAGGAAGGGTCTGAGTCTCACGCGCCAAGGCGCTGCGTACAAGACGTTCCGCACTGTCGACGACAGCTCGAGCCGCGATCGAAGAGCAGGAACTATGAAGGGAAGCAGAAGCGGCACCAGCACGCCGCACCACCATAAGCAAAGCGCCCTAACGCTCGGGATGCGCTCCGGTGGTCCCTTGAACCGCCACATGAAGCCAAGCTGGCGTGGCCCGTCCATGAAGGCCAAAGTTGGCACGAACAAGAGCGTCGATAGGAGCCAGGCGCAGCTTGGATGGATGAAGGGCATTACCATGACGAAGCGCAAGCCATCCACCGACGGATCGAGGAGGCACGCGTCCAAGGACGCTAGCATGGTCGGACACAGCTACCCGGACGACGAATGGGGCCAGCCCGACACGATACAGGAGGAGCTTTTACGCGTGAGCACGCAGATTCCCAAGGTCAAGTGGGAAAACATCGACATGGACAACTTGACGCTGAATGCGTCCCTCACTGGCCCCTGGGGCGTCGAGGGAGAGCCCATATTCATCAAGGTCAAGATTGACATTCCCGCCGACTATCCCAAGGTCAGGGCGCCGAAGTTTCTGATTGAAAAGACCTCCTTTATGGCGGAGGAAACGCACAAGAGGATCACGCGGGAAGTGCACCAGCTGGCAGAACAGTTCCTGCAAAGAAAGCAGAATTGCCTTGAAGTTGCCTTTACGTATCTGCTCGGAGAAGTCGACTTGGAATCCAGCACCACCTTCTTCAAGAACGTGCGGGATCTGGACGACGACCTCGATGGCCTCGGCGACGAGAGCTCAAGCGAAGAGGACGAAGACATCCCGGCAGGCGGCTCTGCTTCCATGTCCCAGGAGCTCGTGCCTCACAGCGAGATTGATACGATTCTGGCACCGCCGAGCCGGAACATCATCCCACCATCGCCACGAACATGCGGCGCTCGCTTCTCCAACGACGGGCGACTCGTTAGCTTCTTCCCTTCCAAGGAAGAAAAGGCTAGAGCCCTGTTTTCGACGTCTGCCGAACTGTACAACAAGGAGCGCGCTAAGGGAGAACCCTTCTTTGCAGGCTTCGGACGTCTCACTTATGACTTGCCCTCGCGCCAGAAATATGCCACTGATGAAGCGTCTGCCACGGACGAGCTGTCAGACTCTACAGACTCGGACGTCTCTTCGTCATCTTCGAGCGACTCCGAGTCGACCTCGATACACAAGATGAGCCTGTGGTACAGGTCCAGCCGGCAGCTCCGCAAGACGTGGAGCGAGGACCGCTCGGTCCGGTCCAGCGGCGGTGGCACGGGAGCCGGCACAGGCACAGGCACGGGAACTAGCCGCCGTCGGTTTGGGAGGCCTAGGAACCTCGTCACCATTCATGATCTGCAGGCTGAGCTCCCGTCCAAGCGGGAATTCGCGGAAGAGTACGCCATCTTCGGTGACGGAGCAGCCGTCTGTGACCACAACGCGAGCGTCGCCGAGAAATATGGGTACGACGAACTGGTGGACGTCTGGCGGTACCTCGCTCTATTGCTAAAAAAGGGGATACCCCTTGAGGTGCTGGGCCGTGACCAACGAAGGGCGTCCATCCTTGTTATAGCAAGGGATGTTGTGCGTGAGCACAATAACCTGGTACGGGACGTGATCGGAGGCGATCGCGACCTGCTAGGGCGTGTGAAATGGGGCCAACACCCGCTGGCAAAGGAGTTCATCGCGGACTTGTTTGATCACTTTGAGAAGCTCGCAGACGTGCAGATGCTGGCGATGCTCTCGTGCATCTTTAGCGAACCCTCGACCGACGACGGAGTCGCCTACATCGAGTCTCGCTTGCCCGTCCAGGAGACACCGCTGACGCTCAAAGCACCGTCCTTCTCGCTCGACTACTTCCCCACCGATGCATCGGCGTGGGGTCTTTACAGAGGGAGCTACAGCAACTCGGCCGCGACGACGCCCGGTGCCCTGCACACGCCCATTCACTATGCTGGATCGCAGGCATCCGATGAGATTAACTGGGGCGTTGAGGGCCCGAACGGGTCGTATTCATGCGGCGAGACGCCGCCAACCAAGAAGTCTTTCCTGGGAGAACAAGACCAGCCGTCGCCGATTTCGCGGTCGCCGACCAACCGCGGTCTTTTGCGCGGCAACACGGGACTAGCATCTGCATTTGCTGCAGGTTTGCCACGGTCTTTTACCGGTGGGAGCTCGTCGTCGCCTCCCAACCAGCCCAAGAAGAAGCCGAGCCCGGCGGAATACATCCTGAACAGCCTTGCCCCAAGCACCGGGAACACAACACAGGGCAGCGGCTCTGCCATAGCTGACTCGGCGGGCGCGCGAACGTCGGTATCAGACGACGACTATCGCAAGGATGACATGCTGGCCTTGGTTCCGATCAACGTGTCGGTGATACTGGAGGACCAAGCCATGTTTGACGACGACGGGTGGCTCTCGACGCCGTTGTTGGACCAGAACAGGGCAAATACCTATGCCAACTATCGTTATGCGTACGCCGAGATGCTCCAGATGTGGGGTCAGCCGTTGGCAAGGCTGGAGATTATGAAGTTCAATGTGCTTAAGGAGCACCCGACAGCTTCAGCGGCCGATGGCAGCTTCCACGAGTCGACGACCTTGCATGACAGCGCGAGCGGGACAGGGGCGCATCACAAGACGGGCTCATCGCCGATTATCATGGGCAAGAAGGACCAGCTGCTCGGACTGCTCGCGTCTGGACGAGGGCTCGACGTGACGGGCATCTGCAGGGTCCACGAGACGCAGCTGGAGCCGACACGGTACACGTTGTCGGAGCCCAAGATTGGCGGTGCTGTAGGCACGTGCGACCGATGCCACCGAATGCAGACGCAACTGCAATGCGTATACTGCCTGGAGCCCGTGGACGCGCTGTTCCCGGCATGCCTGTCGTGCGGCTGCGCCAGCCACGAGTCGTGCCTGGCCGAGTGGCACGCCGCGGGCGAGACGACATGTCCGGCGGGTGACGAGTGCCCGTGCGTGGAGGAGGCGTCGAGCGGGCAGGTCGAGTCGTGGGCGGCGCTGCAGGGCGCGATGCTCAAGGGGATGGGCAAGGCGGCGGCGCTGCCGATGCTGCCGGCGCCAGCGCTGGGCGTCAGCGACGACGAGGACCACGACAGGGGCAAGTCGGGAGGGTGGGAGCGCGTGGAGAGGAACGTGCCGAGCAGGATGCAAGGAGTGAGCGCGGCGGCGCTGTCTCCGGCGACGCTCAGCTTCGGCAGGCTGAAGAAGTCTGCGGGAACGTGGTCGCGGGCGTCGAGCGTGCGCAAGGCGGCGACGACGACGAACAAGAGGGGCGGGTGAGGACAGAGAGGCCAACGAGGGCAAAGGCGCGACGTGTGGGTGCTAGTGTATAATGTCTTGTACGTGTGGTCTTGCGAGGAGTCTTGCGGGTTTCCATCTTGTGCTTTATGTATATGTCTCATGGGGTGGGGGGGGGTGGTATGGGGGCGCGCACGCCGTGTACAACAACGAGCATGAATAATGGCGGTTCCCCCTGGTTCGAAACAGAGAAAGAGATAGCATTGACACGGATACGGAATTATATATGCACCTCTATATTTACACCAAGATCTGCCTGCGCCCGCCTGTCCGTTCGACCCCCTTTCCGCAAACACCCACGAAGCACGCTGGCGCCAGAGTACCCATCCCAGCCTTTCACTTCTTGATCTGGTTGAGCAGGGGCCGGCCCTCGTCCAGCCTCGTCAGGTTCTCGAGGATCAGGTCCGTGATGCGATCGATGATGGCAGTCGACTGCCACGAGACGTGCGGCGTGATGAAGACATTCGGGGCCGTCCACAGCGGGTGATCCGCCGGCAGGGGCTCCGGGTCCGTGACATCGAGGGCCGCGCCACGAACAGACCCATCGCGCAGCGCATCCACAAGGGCGAACGAGTCGACGACAGGCCCGCGCGCGATGTTGCACAGGAAGGGCGGGCGCCGCCTCTTGGACGGGTCCCCGCCGCCGTTCGCGCTGGCGGTGACGTCGCGCATGAGGTCGAACTCGCGGCGGCCGACGAGCCCGCGCGTGGAGTCGGACAGCGGCACGGCGAGGACGAGCAGGTCGACGCCGAGGCGCAGCATGTCGGCGAGGGCGGCGGGGGCGTCGTCGCCGTGGAACCAGCGCGAGGGGATGGCGCCGTCCGGGTCGCCGGTGCCGGGGACGGCGTAGGAGCCCGGGTCGAGGCGGCGCGAGGCGGGCGTGGGGCGCGGGCGCTGCGTGTAGGCGACGACGTCCATGCCGAGGGCGCGGCCGAGGTGGGCGCACTGCCGGCCGATGGAGCCGTAGCCGAAGACGGCCCTGTTTATACACCCTCTTAGTACAAGCTTTTTGGTGAGGGAGAGAGTGAAGGTCGGGGAGACGGCGAGGAAGGGGAGAGACAGGGGGAGGGAGGAAGGGAGAGGGGGGCTCGGGTCGCGAGACGTACATGCGCCGGCCCATGGAGTCGGTCACGGGATGGTCGGCAACGCGGGCGGACCAGCTGCCCTGGAGCTGCTGCTGCTTGTAGATGTCAAAGTGGTGCTCCGAGGCGAGCCACGAGGCCATGACCCATTCGGCGATCTGAGGGCTGCGGGAGGTATGCAGTGTCAGCGTTCGGCTCCTCACCCAGTTCTCTCGTGTGCCTGAAATGTAACATCCACATGTCCACTTCCAGACATATACACATATACACACGAGGAGAGAGCGGCGGGGGGTGAAGGGATGTGAGTGAAGTGAGCAGAGAGGCACAAAGGAAAACTCACGCATGGCAGCCGCTCCCCGAGCAAAACACGACGCCCGGGTCGCGGTACTTCTCGTGGCCGACCCAGCGGTCCGAGCCGGCCGAGATGAGCTGCACGAAGCGCACGTCGGGGATGGCGGCGGCTTTCGCGGGCGGGTAGACGCTCAGCATGGTGACGCCGTCGAGGACCTCGGCGGGCAGCGTGTCGGCGCTGGCGAGGTCGCTGCGCACGGGGTCGAGCCGCGCGAGCTCCCACCGCACCGACAGCTGCGGGAAGCGCGCGGCCAGCAGGTCGAGGAAGCCCGGCGGCGGGGGCTGCGGCGCGTGGATGAGGAGCTTGTCGCGCGAGGTGATGCCGCCTCCGCCGGCGCTGCTGGTTTTGCTCCCTGCGGTTCCGTTTGGTACTTGGCTGGCCATGGTGGCTGCTGCTGCTGTGTCGGTGGTGGTGGAGGAGGAGGTGGTGGTGACGGTGCGCGAGTACTGCTTCAGCTGCGGCGGTGGTGGTAGTGGTGGTGATGATGATGATGATGATGATGCGCGTGGAGAGACTCGCGCTGCTAAGAACGGGAGCGAAGCTGAAGCTGACGATGCCGATAGCGGCGACGGCGGGAACGACAACGTTGAGATGCCGGACGATTGGGACCGGCGAGCGAATGACACGCTGGAGAGGCGAGGACGACAGCTCTTATGCCGATCAGTGAATTGGACACCGTGTCGCGGTGTCGGTGTATGCGCGTGAGCGTGCACAGACGACGACGACGACGAAGGTGCGATGAGCCGGGCGGTGTCAGACGCCGTGGCAGTTGTGGACGTGGCGGCTGCGGTGGAGCTGATAGCAGAGGGCGTCCTCGTCGAGATGGAGCTGGAGATGGAGACGCGATGCCGCGTACCGAGGTTGAAGGAGAAGAGGAGCAGTGGCGGCGTTGGTGGTGGTGGTGTCGGCGAAAGGGGAAACAACCGGATTCTGCAGCGCGCGAGTGGTCTGCTGCTTCTCTGGAGGATCATGGCCCGCGCTGCATGGGACCTAAATCTTCCTTTTATATATACACGTGAGTATATATAGGTGTATGAGGAGGTGCGTTGTCCTAGCTCTCCATGTAAGCCCACCGTCGTCAATTCCGAGCCAGCCGTCGTCGGAATCAGTGGATTCAAGATCCGTGTCTCGCAGTCTCACTCACCCGCGAGCCCACCCTGCGTCAGCGTTCTTTCCAATGCGTGACCGAGCCCCGAGGCAAAGCTAAAAACGGGCAAGAGAGATGTCTCGAAAGATTGAATTGCAATTGTGCATCTCCGTTGAGTATAGACGCGCTTTATACCACAATTTCGACCAGCGCTCATCTCCATGCCTACAACAGGAGAGGCCCCCCATTCAAAGCGATAAGACCAGGAGCAAGCACCTCCGCCTCCGCCGTCTCTCCCCCTCACTTTCCCCTCCGGACCCGGAACGCCCGCCCCATTCGGACCCTCGATTTGCGGAGACGCGGGCGGAGGGGGGGGGGGGTAGGGGGCGCCCTTGGCCTCGGGCCTTGACGAAATATGGGGTCCGGCGCGCCCTGCCTGCCGGGGCGCGCTGATACTGAACTCTCCCCGCCTGCAGCTGTTCGTTCACAGCCAGCTAGCTATCCTTGCCATACGTAACATGCATGCTATTTTCTCGCTCACCGACTTACACGGGCAAGACGGGCTTGGCCCAACTAGCCTGTCAATCAATATCTAGCGGTGATTCCTCAAACCCCTTAAGTTACGTAGTATGTAAAGTCCGAACATGGTAAATCCCGGGGGGACATCATTTCCCCCATAAACCAACCCGGATCGCTTCGGTTCCTTGAATACCGGTACTACTAAATGGACCAAAGTCCGGCAGCGCTCACAGCCCTTGTTTCGTCTCGTTTCGTTTCCTTTTGTATAATGCAGCTTCCCATCATCATCTTTCGTCTCGTCTCGCCTCGCCGCGCGCACGCAGGCACTCGAGCGAAACTCTCATCAGCATCTCAGCACGTCTCCGCGGGGCTTACATGCGCTGACCGACGGAAAGCACGTCACGAACTCACGCGTGCCATAGATTTTTTTTCTTCTTTCACCAAAGGCGTCTCGTCCCGTCGTGTCCGAGTATGACGATGTGTTTCTGTGTAATTTGGCTCTTGAACGTTAAAGTGCAGTGGCGAGTTGTTTTCCGCGTCCCGGCTCCCTCGCGTGTTCGGGGGTTGTAATGCCGAGTATGACGGGGCACATCATGGATGGACCCTTCAATGCTTGAATTTCCAAATCAAAAACATTCCGTGCTTTCCTTCAGTCAATGGGGCACAGCTGGGCATCTCACTCTTACAACACGTAGGGACTGTTGCAGGTAGTCAGTCACTTGGTACAAGCCCCTCTCATAGCATACACGAGTCCCCCTTCTAACCCGAGGCCACTTCGGAGGCCAGCCTACCGCCCCGCGCTGCCCGGCCCGCGTTGTCGTCATCTGAGCCGCCGCCGCCGCCGCCGCCGCCGCCGCCGTGGTGGCCCTGTCGTACCCGCCGATGCATGCCCCGACGCCGACGCCGACACCCCGTCCTCCAGCTCCCCGGAGCCCTCCCACCGCAGCGAAAACGTCAGTATCCGCTCGACGATGATCCACCGCATCCTGTTCTCCGCCGTGTCCTTGTGGCCGCTCCCGTTGCCGTTCCCATCCGCGCCCCCGTCCGGGTCGCCCGCCGTCGACCACGGCCGTATGCGTCTCCAGTCGCTGCACCCCTTCGCTTGTCCCTGTGCCGACGCCGATGCCGATTCCGACGCTGATGCTGCTGATGAAGATGCTGATGCTGATGCCGCTGATGACGATGCTGATGCTGACGGCGAACGCTCCGCGCGCCCCTCCCGCCGTTGCCACCTCCTCCGCCTCCGCCTCTCCCCGTTATGACCGTCGTCATCGTCGTCACCATCACCGCTGTCCCCATACCGCCCATCCATAAACACCACCTTGGACACCATCGTCGGCCGTCCCCGGTTCAGCTCCCGGCAGTCGGGCTTGCCGCACCGCCCGTGCTGCAGCACCGCCTTGGTCTCTGGCTCGTCCAGGTCAAGGCTCGCCATCTCCACGACACCGTCATCCACCCAGTATCGGAACTGGCGCGCCGTTCTTCGCGCCCTCACATCCGACGGCACGCTCCTGTCCACGGCCACGGGCCCGAGCTCCCATGACCGGTCCACCTCGCCCACCTTGACGATCCACAGGTCCTCGAGGTTGGGGAACCACAGCCGGTCGAAGGCGACCCTGCCAACGGCGACTCCGGGCTCGGCCCCCTCCTCGCCTGCGCCCTCCTGCCCCTGTCCCGTCTGCTGATACTGCGGGTTGTGATTATTGTTGTAGCACGCCGCAAGGTACGCCGAGTACAGCGGCAGCCCGTCGACCCGCCCGTCGTCCGGGAAGCAGTCCCAAAAGGCCAGCCGCCGCACCCGCGGGGCCAACGCCTCGAGCGTGCGCGCGCCACCTTCCTTCTGGTCTGAGATGCTCGCGTCGCAGACCACAATGTCGCGCGAAAAGTCGACGTATGAGCCCCGTCCCGCCGGCTCGTACCCGCGCCGCGACTCGGCCCGCGACTCGGCGTTGAGCTGCGTCACGGCCGGCAGCGGGTACGCTCTCTCCCGGTGCACGAGGTCGTCGAGGATCACCACACGGGGCTCCGCCGCGCACGCCCATATCTTTAGTCGCAGCTCCGCCGGCAGCAGCGCGAACCTGGAGTTGGGCTCGGGCTCGGGCTCAGACTCGGACTCGACCTTGGCCAGGCGGACCGGCGGCCTTGTCGTCCTCGTTGCTGTCGCTATAGTTGTAGAAGGGCACTCCGCCATCAGGGCCATGTTTGTTCACGACTACCAGGTGGTGAGACAACGCGTGATGGCGGGCCCAAAGCACCGGGACACTGAAGAGGGGGTGACAATACGTGGCGGCCATCAGCTTCCTTTAAAGCAAGGGGGGACACGACGGCGAACGAACAAACGACGTCGCCGGCGACGAAAGCAGCTCGGTGCGGTGCGGTGACTGAGACACCACCCACGCTACCGGGACCCCAGCTATCATCCTGGCCGCCCTGTTCGGCCTGGGCCTGCTCTAGTCTGTATGCGTGCCTGCCAGCTCCGTCATCGTCGTGTGCGTCGCGGCCGTTCGCTCGTCGCCGAAAGAGGAAAATCGGTTTGCGTGAAGCCATCGTCGGCCTCAGCCGCCACCGACCCGGACCGACCAGGGACCCATCATCCATCCCACCTCACCGACCGTCTGTTCGAGGGGCGGCGGCTAGCTGCAGCGCGGGCAGCCCTTGATCACTCGTCCCCCCTGGTCCGTCCAATGGCGCCGCCTCCCACCGGCCGTCCATGTGACGGAACCTGGTCATTGTCTCAGGCACCTGACGTGGGGAGCCGCATATCCCAACCCAAGGGAACGAACCCACCACTGCGAAGCTTCCTCGCTGTCATTGCTGCTTCTCCGTCTGGGGCCTCTGGGCCGTCTTCGCCGAACACCATCCGCTGCCAAGCAGCGACCATGGGATGACATGGGATGACATGGCGTCCCGTCGGGGGTGCCATGTCACCGCCTCGCCCTCGACGACCCGCCGCCATGGCCCAAAGGAGTCGCATCTTGCTTTTTCCACAACGCCCGGGTTGCCCGCTACGGCGACGACCTGTATGCATCAGTCCCGTCTCGTCATGCCCCCTTGCTCGAGATGTGAGCTGCTGTAGTACGTGGTGTCTGTGTCTGCGTAGGTATGTATGTAAGGTATCTGTCCCCTGCCTGACCAGTCGTTTGCATGAGTCGCACCGTTTACCCGCGTGCTTTCGCGAGCCAATACCCTGCGCGGATCGCCAAACATGCCTCCTTTGAATCAAGCTCATATCCACGACCTCGGATCCGATACGCCGGTCGCGACCACGGGACGATGCGGCCCGCCTCGCGCGCGGCGGCCGGCCCGGGGCAGGCAGTTCAGATTTCAGATGCAACCTCATTCTTCGTGTCACGCGAGTCGCATCTCCACGTGCAAACGGCCCTTCCCTACCATGCAGCTCCCTGCGCGGGTGAAAGCCTTTACAGTCTGCTGGCCTGGTCAGGAGCGCCATCAAGAAAGGTGTTGATGAGCGCCGAGAAGGGACCGGCGTTTTGGAAGAGAAACCCGTGACCCGAGTCCGGGTACAGGTGCAGCTGCGCGCCGAGGCTGCTCAGCTTCTTCCACATGAGGATGCTGTTCTCCGTTGGCAGCAGCAGATCCTCGTTGCCTGCACCACAGAGTCAGAACGCGAGACCTATGCATGTGTCCGGGTGGGCGTTTGCCCACGGGTCGCACAAGGAGCAAGAAAGCACGTACCGTTTGCGATGAGGACGGGCAGCTTGAGCTCGTGGAATCGGTCATACGACGCGTCCTTGGCCTGCTTGGGGTCCATGAACTTGGCAAACGCGATGGCCTGCCGATGAGCGGCCGCGGCCGGGACGGCAGGCGTGCGGTTCGGGCGGGCGTTGACGATGCGCTCCCAGCTCGCCCGCCCAGCGGCCTGGCTTCGCTCCGACTTTGTGAAGAAGGTCTCCAGGAAGGCCTTGCGATCCTCGTCGTCTGTCGCGGCCGCCTTGAGCTGGTTAAAGGGCCCTATCGGCGCCCGAATGACACCCTCGCCCTCGCTGGGAATCGTGCCGCACAGCACGAGGGCGCGAACGAGCTTCGGGGCGTTGAGGGCGACCAGCTGTGCGACGCATCCGCCCATGGAGAACCCCATTACGTCTGCACGCTTAACTCCGAGCGCGCGAATCACGTCGATGTAGTGCTGCGCCCAGCCCGTGAACGTCTTTGGCACCTCGCCGCCGGACCGCCCAACACCGGCATTGTCTATCAGAATGACGGGGCGTACTGCTGCAAGCGGGTTGATCAAGGCAGGGTCCCAGTGATCCATGGTTCCTCTGCGCAGACATGGTCAATATGCAACTTTGTCATGACGGGCTGCTGGGCCGCAAACCTGAAGTGCATGAGCAGCACGAGCGGGATGCCGTCCCGTCGGCCGAGCCACCGGTAGGCAAACCGGATGTCGCCGACGGTGATGAAGCGGTCGGAGGCAGTCTCGTAGGTGGCCATGGCGTCAGCTGTCGTCTGATGATGCTATGAAGCTCCAGCAACAAAGTCAATTGCAGCCTTCCTGGAGTGTGCCTCTGTGGTTGCCAACTTGTCTCATAAGCAGAGCCGAGGTTCTCGATGTGCGGGGGCGGGACGGTGGAGCCAAGCTTCGGCCGGGTACAGGAAGCTGTCAGTGCGAATCCCTTGGCGATGGGCCGACACGCCAGCAACGGCATCTCGCGCCCCTCGGTTCTGCTAGGAGTGAGTCCGAGAACAACATAATACAACGTTTGCCAGAATGAGTCCAAGCGATTGCCTCACATAATAGGTCTGGACAGAGCGACATGTAGACGCTGCCCATTGGGTACGACTTCTCTTCCCTTGAGGCGATCGTCACTATGGACAGACGAGGAATGCTGTTCGTAGCCGGTAGCGACAGCCGGTTCGAGGAATCTGACTTGAGACGCGAGAAGCTCACAATAGATGGCATAGAACGAGGGGCGGCATGCAGACAGAGGCACACAAAACCTGCGCTCTATTCCCTTCGATACAGCTTGCGGCATCGAGGACGACGCCACCAGTCGAGCAGCGGAGAGACTCCGTGCCTACCTCCTCTACGTCAGGTGATCGGCATCTCTCAAACGACAACTCAAGGAAGGACAGACCGCGACGCTCCTGCCGCTTCGTCGTGCCTCGTGTCTACCCGGGACACTAGCAAAACCATCCAAACCTGCTCCACCTCCGTCATCGTATTGACATCGACTGACTCGGCCTCGCCGGGTACCCAGTTGTGTCAACTGTCAACTGTCAGTCGCGCGCGGGGCACTAATTGCGGTACAGTCAGTCCCGTGGAGCAATGTATCATCAGTTAAACTGAGTAAATTGGGTATCTGAATTGGGCGCCCGAACTGTTCATCATCCAAGCCTTTGGGCGCCCGCAGCCAGCCTCTCCTGGCAAGGCCTGCAGGGACCGGCCAGCGACTCGAATCGAGGCATCCCGCTTTTGGCCTGCAGCGGCCGCGCTGTTCTATCTCGTCGAATGCATTCCGTATTAGAGCCGTCTGCTCATTCCTCCTCGTGCCAACGCTGGTCATCATGACAACCAAATAATATGGAGCTTTGTAATATAGTAGCCCCTGATCCAGATTCTATCGCTTCGTGGCCCCCCAATGCCGTGCCAAGTCCAAAACGCCGTGCTCAAGGAAAATCACATCCGCGGCCACCACAGCCTTGTCAGCAGCTCTCGGCAGGCGAGACAGCGGGGTGAGAAACACTCTCCGCCCGCGTCTGCGTGGCCTCAAACCGCTGCTGCAGGCGTCCCTTTTCAGCCAGGGCAGAGTCAATAGGCGGGTTCTCCTCGCCCTGGAGCGCGGCAGCAGTCCTGCGGAATGTTAGCATTAAGAACGTGACACCGGAGACGGCCATTCAAGAAATGGCTACAACTCACCTCCTCAGGAGCGAGCAGGCAACCACCACTGACAGAGAAACGGCGAGGATAATGAAAGGAAGTCCATCCTTGAGGCTCAGGCGCGGGTAGAAGTGAAAGGGCTTCCGGTTATGACGATGGCGATGGTGGCCGTGGCGGCCCCTGCCGTGGCCTTTCCTACCGTAGCTGCCGCCCCAGACGTCGCCGTTGGAATCGGCCACGGCGGTGGGCGTGTCGTGGTCGAAGACGGGCGCGCCCCGGAAGCCGGGGACGTGGAGCCAACCCAGCGCACCCGAAGCAAGCTTGGCGTAGTGAGAGACGAGGGAGTGAGACGGCGGAGCGTCGGGGATGGCGGCGGCGGCGGTGTCGACCCGGACGATGTTGGTCCGGATGATGGGGATGCCGTCTTCGGTGGTGATGACTTGGTAGGGTTCGGTGGCGGGAGCGGCGAGGCCAACGCCGGCGAGCCCCACGCCGAGCAGCACAGACAGCAGCTTCATCTCACCGGAAGGTTCTTGCGGATACTGCAGCAGATAAAGATGTACCGTACAAGACAGGAGTCGAATCGCGACTCCTTGCGGTGAGGCAGAGCAAGTGAGCGGGTCGGTAGACGTTGGCGAAGATCGCAAAGGCGTGGGTCTAAGCGACGAGAACAAGATGGG